TGCCTTTTCGTCCGCGCGACTCGTACGATAGAATTCCACTGACAAAAAATCGAAACTGGCCGACTTTCTCGTTTCTTTAGTATGTCAAACCTGCACGCCTGGCGATGCCGAGGTTGATGGTACTGTACGTACGACGACCAGTACAAAACACGGTTGAGAACAACGATAATTACATAATGCGGGAGACATAGGATCGCATCAACAAAACGTACCGTAATTCATCCACGAGTGAGAAAAAGGCTTAAATAACGATACAAAAGTACGATCACTCGAAATTCAAATCCCGTTGTGTAAATCGGTAACGTTCGGATGCTGATGCTGTCTATCTTTTTCAAAGAACGGAATCATCATCACTGTTGCAACGAACAGCAAGGTCGAACAGAGCTACTTGATCAAATCAGGCATAGTATTGTTTGTCAATCATCATCATCGTCGTCATTATCATTTTTTCGAATCATTTCTCCCATAATGAAATACACGTTTGTCAATACTCTCCTGTTAGTGCTTTCCCTGACGAKCCCTTCTGGCGCAAAGGAACGATTGTTTCAAGAGGAAGATGGTGCTCGAACAGAATCTCAGGCCCAAATTTCTGATGATCTGGATGAAAAAAATCCGCACTTTTTTTCTCCAATCGAGATGGAAATCAGCAGCAGCGCCAGCAATGACGAACTTGGCATCGGCGACGAAGGCGAACAAATCACAAGCAGAACTGTTTTCCAGGGGCGAACAGAGCCTTCTCCGGAATGTGGAGAAGGAAWTTCTAGACACTACGAGCTACCTTGYGATGACAACGTAGTATCKAAAAYAACAGACAACTCCGARGATCCTATTTCTGGGAGAAATCCACCGTCCGATTCAAATTGTGTCACCACTGATGGAACATTTGGAGATATTTCGGACTCTGCCGCACTGCTGACGGTTCCCTTGGATTATTTTTATGAGATGAAAGTCGTCGCTGGTACCAGTCAATCGACGATCAATGACGAAATTCTTCCTCCYTTGGAAAAAGCCATCGTGGATAGCATTCTTCAAGAAGTCTACCCCGACAAATGTATTAGTACTGCGGTTGGAAAAAGACATCTACGGGAGAATAGAAGCAAGAGACAMCTCGAGGTTATTGGAGTGTCGATGTATCCCCCAGACTATGTCACAGCTAATAGTAAGTGAAGATTCGTAAATTATGAGTGCGATCGCCTTGATAATTTTTGTTGCTCTCAGGRTATTTTCAGTGTGTCGAAACCTTGTTATTAAAAAAAGACCTCATTCTTCCTCTTCTTCTCTTCACCAACTCGCTCATCTCAGCATGTGAACAGATGAATTCAAAAAATCCACCTGGTGACTGTTATGTTGTGAAAGGCGAGCTAACCATATTCACTCAAGAAGAGCATGTCGCTGAAGAGCAAGCCCGCATCGAAAATCTAATTAAAGAACATATGAATGATGGCGTTTTCAATACTGCCAGCGACGAAATTATTCAGYTATATTACTTGAATGGCGCACCTGGCACTTCAGAATCAAACATTARTGACAACGAAAAAATCAATGSAGCTGAAGGCTCCAAGAAAGGTTCAARCAAAGCTTTGACAGTGGGTCTGGTGGTTGGTTTGGGTGCTTTGGTGGCGCTTATCGCTGGTGTTACTCTCAGAGTTACGCGAAGAATGAGGAATGCCGACGACGACACTGAGATRCAAACAAGCCCTAGGGATGCATGTGATGTGCAGACATGCAATAKGCAGACATATCTTGACGTTGATGATCGACCGTCAATCGATTAAGATGGTGCGCGACATATTCACAATCAATAGGAGTACATCGTCCTTGTGTACATCTCGGACGTATCAGTATCGCAATAGAGTAAAATAGTACAAAGCGCAAAGAACAACCTTTGCTGTAATATAAAAAAAGAAATACCTACAAACTACTACCGTACTAACTTACTCAACCTTTCCAAAACGGTCCAAAGGCCAGATCCGGACAATTGGACGGCCGACAATATTTTCAGCTTCGAGTGAGCCCCATACTCTCGAGTCGACCGAAACTGAGCTACAATCTCCCATTACAAATACTTCTTTTTGGTCAATTATTTTGTCTTCTCTGGGTTCGATATATTTYTCGATCAGCCGCAGGGGTTCAGCTTCGCACAAATCGCGGCGTCCGGCAACAACGTCCTGGCCATTGACRTCGACTTTCCCGTCCTTGTAGACGGTGACTCTGTCTCCGGGAGAGGCAGCAATTCTCTTGACAAACAAATCCCGGCTGCTAAGATTGCCACCATTCTTGGCAACGATCTCTTGCAGTCTGCTTGGGGGGGAAAACAAAACCATGTCTCCGACCTCGTTCTTTCGAAAAGGCGTCCGAGAAGAAACCTTATCCACCAGCAAAACATCTCCCACTTTCAGGGTGGGATCCATCGACTTGGATGGGATAAAAAACAGGGAGATGGCCTGGGAGAGCAGAAATGCCACAAAAAGTCCGCTGGCCGCCGTAAACAGGGACCCAAAGGCGGAAAGCAGGTTGTACATGGAGGGCGTGAAAAGTTTTGGAATGTCGCGCTCATTCACTCGAACGGGCCACGGTCGCTCGAGTTGTGCCACCAGGGGGTAGACGGGCTTGAGTTCGTAGTCCGCTCCGGGGCAGCTCGTAAATCGTTCCCGGCCGTCTCGGTCCAGGATTCGCAAAATCCGGTATTCGACCCCCGGATAGGCTCCCTGTTCGAACATCTTGGGTCGCTGGCTCAATCGAGACAAAACGGGGACCACGACCTTGCCAACCCGGACGCTTTCTGTATTGTGTTCGTTCGTGTTGCCCTCCTCTACGAGCCGAATGTCTTTGTTCCAGGACGACATCGGCGACGAAGGCTCTTTTTCTTGGACTTCGATGTTCGCATCCGCTGACGATGAGTCTTTGGAGAGTATATTTTCCGCAGCGATGTCGTGAATCACAACCTCTGCCTCCACCATTACGGGTCTTTCATCGCYGTATGCCTGGTCCTTGTTTGCGATTCCCAAAAACTCCTGAAACAGACCGGTTTGCATCAAAGGAGCCCCGAATTCAGTTGAAACCCCCTGGTTGAGATCGGAGTTCTCTGGATTTTCCACAAAGCTCATGCCGGCCCTCCATTCGACGTCRAATCGCCGCTGTTGTTGTCTGCCCTTGAGTCGCAAGGCAAACGTAGCCTGTACGGAATCGGAATCCTCCTCCTCGCTCTTGTGGCTGTCRTCTTCGCCGCCAAGCCCCAGGTATTCCAAATACAAACCGACCGACTCTTGGGGTTTGGAACGGGATCCAGTGCCATCGCTKCCCCCACCGCGGGGAAACAGCTTGACTCGAAATCGATGCTGCCGCGGTTTGTTTGAGTCGTTCTGATCGTTGCTGGCGTCGATTGGGGCAGAGCACACAAAGGCCTCGGAAGCAACAAAAYCCCCCGGTCTGACATCCATGAGATTGCAAAACGGCGGAAACTCCAGTGTTGTGTTCGTTCTCGTCGAAGAAAGGTTGYTTTTGTGTTCTTGCAAAATAGTACTGGTACTCGTCTTGTCATCGTCCTTGCTGTTTTCGGTTGTGGAGAAAAAACGACTMTTTTTGTGTCTGTTCGTGGCAACAGTGCCGGTCGTTGCTCTACGGCAAYGGGAAGGGCTTCTTCTCCGCCCGACACCGACGCTATTGGCACCGCGATCCAAAGAGTGCGAGTATGGGATGACAACAAAGGCTTCGGCATCTAGSACATTCCAACCGCTGTGGAGCTGTAAAACAGCCGCTGCCCAGAGGGAAGCGCTCAAACCAACGGCTATAGATTTCATGGCGGGAGCTGTGTCTTTGTTTCGTATTTCCAATTCAAAGGATCAGTTGTTGTTGCTGCAATAAGGATACAGYATTGCACCTCAAAATATCAAAGTAATAGTGCGATAGTGATATTTCGGTTKCCACCTTGTACTTCTAACCGATTGGGGCTAGCAAGGGCTGACACCTCCATACTAACACTAATCGACGTCGATTCCGATTTTCTCAAAATGTTGTGAGAAAGAGTGAGCTGGAAACGACAAGTCGGCACGAGGTCTACACGATACCTTGGTGTATCCTACATTCGGGATAGTACACGTAAGTACGTACGCACTACGCACCCCATTTGAATGAAAGATGCTATTCATACCCTCCGTGATTACAGTACATAAGAATACTACTCRGTACTTCATCCACAGGCATGGCATTCTTGCTAGACGCTCCCGAGAAGAGTGGTGTTGTCCCATTTTTACAGCTCTTCTCCATTTGCTGGGAGTAGCGGCTAACTCTAGCCTTGAATATTTTCAAACGAGAGCAGGCTCTCAAAAAGAAGAGCTTGTAAAAAGTAGTAGTACTGTATAACCAGATGGCAATACTGCCTGGTRATGTACTATTGGCAGTACTGCTAGAAGTCGCAACTGTACAGATGTTGGCGTGGTTGAAAATCAATTACTGCATCTTTTTGTTTAAGGAATGACAAGGARTGGCTAATCAAAAAGAGAAATAATAGTAACCATAAACTCACAATCTATCTTTTTAAAAATCAATAATAAATTCCACATTACCATTCAATGACAACGTGATTTCTATTGTTTTTTTTTTCCTTGTCTTACCTTCCAATGCAGGAACCAGATATYAGCAAAAACAGAATTGCCAAGATATTGTTTCTGATCTTTGTTTGTGTATCATAAAAATGTATTCGTTCTTCTTCGTTATCAATAGGGTTGCCCTTGTCTTCCGCGCTGAAGAGCTTGCAGAGGTGTCGATCCGGAGCATAGTTCGTGGTAGGCCGAGTTCAAGCAGCGAGCAACGTCGGCGTAGCTGACCACCATTACCGATTTTCCATCACGAGAACTCAATACGATCTTCTCTTCGTCTGCCGCATCGAGTTTGTTCAGAGCAGTTACGACGTGGCCCAAATCCATAACTGGATTGCCAGCACCATCGGCTTGGTGGAAAACTAGTSGGATGAAAAATACGTYAGCGTCAAGGGTAAGAGCACAGTGGAGGAGACTATTGCGTTGCGTATCGAACAATCGGAGTACACAGTGTCAGCACATGTTTCACACTTACCGTAATCACGAAACAGGGTCAGSACATAGCAGTCTCCCGACTGCGACCATCTGCGGTTGGCCCCGTTTTCGGGCCGTTCGTTGACAAATCCTAGTTTTAGCAAAAGGCGTAGCGCACGGCCCGACTCATACTCGCCGGACAAGGCCTTTTCGGTACGTAGCAATGAGAGCTGTGTCGARTCCAGCTCGTCCATTAGACGGCCCGGCAACGCTCGGCTGACGTCCAAAATCGACGGCGGGTTCTGACTACGGATCAGAGTCAAAATGAAGTGTCTGAGATCTCGCGAGTAGTTTTGCATGCAGTACCGCTCGCAGTTTTGCAGGGTTTGCGCATCGGTCGAAGCCGTAATGTTTGTTCCRGTCACAATGCTCAGGATCCAGCGGCCAAATTTCCGCATGTCCTTCGCTTGCAACTCCGGGATTGGTTTGCGCGCCTCGAATTCGAGGGCATCCACGATGCCCAAGCAATTCAGAAAGACCTTCAACCGCARCGCATCCATTTGCAACAGTGTGTGACGCAAGTCGAGGGTGCGCAGAGCCAATCCGGCACCGTGGACTCGTCTGATGACTGTTACCATTTGACAAATGGCACTCCAAATCACGGGCTCACTTAGCGACGGGGGRTTTGCGATCTGGAGGAAACTTTGAGTGCCGGGAATGTACTGGTGGACAAAAAAAACGGCACGCTGTGCCACGAAACATTGATGAAGAGTGGCAATTCCTGGGTGCTCGAGACCCGCCCACTGTTCCATCACGGCGGCAGCAATTTTGGGGTTGACCGATTTAACATTATCGAATCGCCTGAGACAATACAAGTGGCCATCATCTCGATTGACCACTTGGTACGTAGAAGCGGGATAGCCGAACGAGGAGCGCGAATTTTGATGTTTGGGGGGATCCAAACAAAATGCGTTGCAGTATGGCAATGGGATTGCTTTGTGTCTTGGATCGGATGGATTCATTTGCCGAGTCTCCTCKGCGGCTAGATCACGATAGTACCTCCAGTTGTCATCCGACAAACCMAGGGAATGCAAGCTTCGAAAMGGAGGAGGCGTTGGCCCAGAAGGTACCGTTGATGTTCCCGGTCCCGAAAGGATTTGTTCCATGGACGCGGAACCATCATGAGGTTCGTTATGCGACATRTTCGATCCGAAAATGTCCGTATACGATGGGTCCTTTTTGGCTAACGGACAGCGAAAAACGTCGAGACAGAAAGACCATGAACAAAAGAGACAAGTGAGTTACCAGCAGCGCGCAAGTGGCGCAATTCATAAAGGGGTACTGCGTATCGCTGGAGGGCAATCCAAATCTCCCTCGTATTCTCACCTTCCATCACTGCATTCGAAGCTGCAGATCCTTGTGTGCTCCATCCACGGCCGGGAACAAATTCCTTCACAGAATGGTTCAATTCTGTTTCACCTTGGTTCTGGTACTGCCAATCATTCGAAACCAATCTGGAAACTTGAGGTGGGCTTTTTTGCTGATCGGAGCCTGGTGCTAGTGGCGGATACTGCTGCTGGTTGGTGGTTGGTTGCTGCTGCTGGGCTCCGGGGGGTCTCCACTCACGAGCAGTGGACGAAAGCCCCAGGTTTCCGAACTCACTGGATAAGTAGTTGTCCATTGTAGATATGTTYTGACGTTCCTGCTCGAGTCAAAGGTCAGTCCTTCTTCGTGTTCTCGAACAACACGCTTCGCAATCTGTTTTGCAGCGCACAAGACCACGGCGTATTATGGTGCAAACCTCCTGTGCCTTGTTCTCTTATTGATAACACACAACAAGGAACCAGATGTGCCGACCAAGATCCGGACGAAAAATCTATCAATCGATCGAACWGATTGATGCGATCTCAACACGGAGTGAGGGGGCAAGACGCKTAACTACTAGCCAGGCACAGTAGCAGTCAGTCCTGTCTACCAACGCTGGTGTATCTTGCACWGAGTTTGTGTGTCAGTAGTTTGTGATCTAATACTTGCGGTACCCACTCTCCATGCTCGTCCTTCCGGTTGGTTCAGGAATGCTAYTGTTTCGTTTCTCGCTTCTTGCTATATCACCAAGGGGTTTGCATTCAGTTAACGATTCCGTCGATGATAATCTCCGATCAGCGTTGTTTGCATAGCACCGTACTGAAACTGGTACCTACGTACAGGTACCGGTACGCTGTAGTCCTGTTCTCGTTTCCTGTCGAATTAAACGAGTATCGTACGCAGAAAACAGTGGTTGGAATGTGAAGGATGGAATCAGAATAATCAGGCAGACTTAAAAAGAAAAAAATCTTTCTTTATTGCACGTACGAGGTACCATACGGTCAGGCCCAGTATCAGTAAAATTCTAATTTTGGGGCAGCGCAGGGGAAAGAACCCAAAATAGATGGACCATTTTAGACAAAAGATAAGGATTACTTCTACCGGTACGAACCGGTACGAATAGTATTTTAATTATCTTTAGCCACGATTTTTTTTATCGGAAATTATTCGAACTAATTTCGCTCACATTCTGTTCTACCGAAAAAATTAGGAGTACTACAAATTGACTTTGTTTCCATAACCACTCTCGGTTCAAAATACAGCACTGATTCACACTGACCWAATTCCTCGGACCGGAAAAATCTATATCGCAGATATATATTTTCCAATCGAGAGCAGAAGGTTCCGTTTCGTATATTGAAGGTCCATAACCACGGCTCTTCGCGTTGTGAAACTCTTAACAGGATCGCTCAAGACTGGAACGGGACTTTTGATTGCCTTGTTGATATCCCAAATACGAACGGTTCGATCGTCTCCACCGGTCGCAAGAGCTTTGCCACAAGGACTAAATGCAAAGCCATGTATCATCTCGACGCTCTGCCTCCTTTGTTGATCTGGACCCGGTGGATGAATAACATTTCCATGCCGAGGTGACCTCAATTCGGTTACCTTTTTCCCCGTTGCCAAATCCCATACRTGCACCGTGCCATACAGATCAGCACCAAAGGCATACTGTCCAGACGGATCGATTTCAACCTTGTAAATTCCTACTGGACAACCATTCAGCAACCGGACGCACTGTCCGGTTTGAATGTCCCAGAGTCGAACGGTCTTATCCTCGCTTCCGCTGAGTACGTAGTTGCAATTCGGATGAAACACAACCGAATGAATGCAGTTTGAAGTGTGACCGGTGAAGAGACGAACCGGAACGGATCGATCGGTTGTCCACAGCCTTGCGGTAGCATCCGATCCTCCCGAAGCAAAGTAATACCCAGAGGGTGAAAATGCAACGGACCAAATTGGAGTATTCGGAGCATGGCCTCTGTACACCGCCAGAGCAGCACCACTCGTGTAGGCTTTTGATTCGGGGCGTAGGCCAGGTACGCTCAAATCTGGGTCTTTTCTCAGGTTTTCTGTAGCTTTCGTCAGGGTCTCCTTCGCAACTGCAGTGGAGACCAAAGGCTTCTTTGCGGTTTGAGACCCTCCTGTCGCAATGCCCACCGGCGGTCCAACTGTTCCAAGTATACTCGATGATTGGACRACTTCTCCAAAAGGGCCTTGCGCCGACGTGTCCCACAACCTGATCGATCCGTCACCTCCGGCACTCAGCAAACTTCGCCCATCGCGATTCCAGCTAAGGTCAAATACTGGGAATCCATTCTTGTGACCCAACAAAACTTGGCCGGCATCCCCCACCGACATTTGCTTTCCGCCATTGCTATTGCTGCCCTTGCTTTGATTGTCCATTAAATTCCATACTCGAATGGCCGAATCATCGCATCCAACCGCTATTCTTCGTCCATCGGGAGAACATAGTTTTGCACACGTTATACCAATTCCCGACTCTTCCCACAAGAAACTAGATGAATTGTTGTTGCTGGTGCTRGAGTCATTTTGGGAACGATCGGCATCATCCCGACGACGAGTTTGATTGGCACAGAGGGTAGAAAACATGATCGAAGGTTCCAACGGATTTGCAAGAACCCTTCTTGCTCGCACGGTCGATTCGTTTACATACGTGTCTTTCGCCTTGGACGACATGGCTTGAAAATCTCGTTTTCGCTCCAAGGCTTCGAGGCGTCGAAAGCCATTGATCAAGAGCGATCGATTGAACCCTACCGATTGCTTGCCCTCTTTTGCCTCTTGTTCGTTCTCGTACTCGTCTTCGAGGTGRAACTTTGGAAAGGGTCGGTTCGGATCTTGTTTTGACAATCCTTTCACCGGTGCCGCCCATTGCACCGGCGTTTCTTTCTGCTTCGAGACCGGTTTCGTTGCGCTCTTATCCGATTCGGGCAACCCGGCCGTCGCGTAKTTGTCTTCGAGAACAACGACCGGGGTAAACGGCAACGGATCCCGTTGCTCCACGTGCAGCTCGCATTTGGTTTGCAACAGCGTGCTCATGGCCAACAAGGAGGTGTCGTTGCTCCCACCCGCACCGACGTTCGAATTCAGGAACTGGCACAGCATTCCATAGGAGGTGGTGCTGAGCGTGAGCTGCCAGCGCACGGCCCGGGCCCGGCGCAGAAAGGGCATGTCGCACATGCGATCAAAGGCATGGGTTGCTCGCTGGGAGGATTCGGTGTGCTTTTGGTGCAGCAACGCAATGGTGTGATCGTATTCCTGCAGTTTCTTTTGGCGGGCCGGATCGAYGTTCCCTCCGCGGGACGATGCATTGGCAATGTCGTTTTCTAGTTCTCGTTTCTTTGCTTGGATGCTTGCGACCTGTATCAGAATCGTTTTGAGGTGTCCGAGGGCCTCCATGTGCTGGGAGTTGTGCGTGTTGAGTTTCACCATGTCCTCTGTCGTGACGCAGTTGTACAAGTCTTTGTATTGACTTCCGTATCCGCTGGGAAGCGGCTCGTAAATAGGCTTGAAGGCATCGCGAAGGACGTGGGCAGTCGATTCCATCCCAACCTCTAACAACTCGCAATAGGTATGGACTAGCAAGGCAAACGATACGGAGAGAAGCTCGGCCTTCGCCGAAGGCGGGATGGGATACACTGCAGAACGAGATACGCCGTTCGTGTCGGGATCATCGGCTGTTTTCTTTGGCGCCGTTGGCTTTGTGAGTTCCGAAATCACAGCGGCCAAAATATTCGAGTCCGACGGAGGGGCTTTGGGTTCATCGGCACCACCATTGGTGCCGTCTTTGTTGCCATTGGAGGTGTTCCCGTCGTCCTTCTTGTTCTGTTCCTCGTCCTTCTTTCCCTCGCTTTCCTTCTCGTCTTGCGGTTTCTTCTCGTCGGATTCTTCCTCGCCGTCGACTTCCATCGGGGCACCGTCTTCCGACCCAGYTGCTTTGTCGGGTTCGACCTTGTCGTCGCCACCGCTCTTTCCCTCCTTCGCTGCGTCGTCGTTGCTCGAGGAGTTCTCGTTATCGTTCTCCTTGTTGGTCTTGTCCTTTTCCAGCTTGGAGGTGACCTTGGAAGCGACGTCGATGAGGGCCTTGGCCTTGGCAATGACGTTGGTCGTCTTYGGCTGCCACCCCACGATTCCCGCGCTGTCGTCGGGCAGGGACAAGATCCACAGCTGCAGGGCCACAAAGGCGTCGAGGTAGGACTTTGCTTCCCGCTCTCCCATCGCACCCGCCGCCCACCGCTGGCGACCACCCCTCGCGGAGGAAGGACTCGCGTTCGGGCCGTTTCCCTTGCCGACCGCGAGGCTGTCCGGGATCCCCCACTGGGCGATCGGAGCTGCCGCGTCTCGGTCGTAGCCGTACCCTCCCCCCGTCGATTTCATCAGGATGGTGCGCTGGGTCCGGCTCGTTTCCTCGTCGGCGTCGAGCTGTTCCCGCGTGATCTTCGGGACGGCTTCCTTCGGGGAGGCGGGAGTCCCGGACCGGGTATCTTTTCCCTTCTGTCGTTCTTGTTCTTCGTCCTTGATTTTCTGTTGCAACTCCAGGACGGCTTTTCCCATTCCCTTGGATTTCAGGTATTCCATAACGACCTTGTCGGTAAGGGCAACGGGGGATTTCACCGCCSCCGGCACTTTGGTGGTGCCTTCCGGGCTCGCACCGGCTGCCGCACCCGATGCGTTGGAAGCTTTCATGGCAGCCCCAGGAGTGGCAGATGACATCGTTCCGTTGGGTTCCGTTCCGTACTGTGATATCCTATCGTATTGGAGCAAGGTCGTTGGATAGCGATCTATCCTGTCGTGGATGCAACCGAGGCAATCAGCTAAGGCACGAGTGGGGCTATGGGAACAGGGAGCAAGGTTGCAAGGTTGCAAGAATGGGTTTGTTGCACAAGGGGAACGTGATGTGCCGTGAAGGAGACGCAGTGTTTAGTTGAGTACAAAGTACAAAGTACGATGCTCATCCTATGCTCTTGTATCGTGCGGTACGGGTACGGGTACGGGTACGAGTACGAGTACCGTACGAACTCCTACCGGCATGGTACAAAATGCACATGCTTGTCCTCACCGATGATCATCAGATCATGTCTTCAAAAAATCAACGAGAAAAAGTCTTCTGCCGATCATTGTGGTAACGTAGCGTAGCGTACGTTGCGAATCGTAGTACCAGTACTGCAATGCCCTGTACGGTACGGTACAGGACATGGCAGGGCCTGGAAATTTGAAAAGAAAAGCTACCGCACGTACGTCGTACGTCAACAAGGTTTCGTGCCGATCTAAAACTGCGAAGTTAAAAACAAGAAGGGTCTAAGCTTGTACCTTTCTTGGTTTCGACTCAAATGATTCACCCGATGAACCTTTCTTTTTCGCATTCGCGCTTTAGAAACCCACGTCATACAGAGTAGTAACCGGCTGAAGCTCTTCGAAAAACTTTTGTTTCTCTTCTACTTCTACCGTCTACGACGACCAATAAATAATTTGGAAATTATCTGGGCGCGTTCTCACTCTACTCGTAGTACAACTCGGAACTTTGTCCTTGTCCGTCCTGTCCTGTCCTGTCCTGTCCTGTCTTGTCGTGACCTGCCCCATCACACATCACCAAGGATACGATACCCGCACGATACAACCCCCGTGTTCCGTTCGAGGCCACAGCGAGAAAGGCAAAGAAAACGACGCCGACGACGAAACAAACACTAAATCTGAAACGAGTTGTTGTTGTTGTTGCCGATCGAGACCGGCCGTCGGGAAGAACAGAATAGAACAGAACAGAACAGAACAGAACAGAACAGAACAAGAACCCTTGGATTGAACAATCCGCACCCGCACCCCATCCCCATTCTTGCCACATTGACCATGAAGCCCGCGTTCCCGGCGACCGCAGCGGTTCGCGTTCGCTCCGCGCTGGGTTCGAGAAACACGCACCGCCCGGCCCGTTCCGCCGGAAGGGCCTTCTGGGGGCGCAGCGGACCCGCTGTTGCGGCGCCCTTTGAATCGACGCTTCCGGATTCCCCCGGGCGCGACCACCRCCACTCTCGGAACGCGAGGCGGGAGCTCCACCTCCTGTCGCGGAGCGGCGGGAATTCCCACGGGGTCGGTGCCGCTGCGGCGAAGCACAACCGCGCCTCAAACCTTCGTTCCTTCTCGTCGGGCGCGAAGCGCGACCTGTACGAGGTCCTCGGAGTGCCGAAATCGGCCAACAAGGCGGACATCAAAAAGGCMTATTTCAAGCTGGCGAAACAATACCACCCGGACACCAACAAGGTAGGTCTGTTGCATCGCGTTGCATCGCGTTGCGTTGCATCGAACCGAACGAGGATGCTTCTGGAATTTGTKGTGGATTTTGCACCGTGCTCGTACCGTTTGCTGCACCCGAGCAATCGGGAGGAAACTTTGTTCTGTCGCTTTTCTGCACCASGCACTGATGATGCACACCCACTCGTATTGTATTTTTCAAACTAGGACGACGAGGGAGCCGCAGAGAARTTCAAGGAGGCGACGGCGGCATACGAAACGCTGAGCGACGACGAGCAACGAAAGATGTAYGACCAGTTTGGCCACGCCGCAACCGACCCCAATTTCCAGCAGCAGCAGCAGCAAGGAAACCCGTTCGGAGGATTCGGTTTCCAGGACGGTGGCTTCCACTTYCACAGCTCCGGTGGCGGAGGAGAAATCGACCCGGAGGAATTGTTCGATGCCTTTTTCGGTGGCGGAGCCCGCCGGCGACGGGGCCCCCAGAGGGGCTCCGACCTGCAGATGCACGTCCGGYTATCCTTCAAGGAGGCCGTCCAGGGGGCCTCYAAAAACCTCAACCTGAGGTACCAGGTGATGAACCGAGAAAACGGGCAGATCGAGATCAAGGAACGCGACGTCACGGTCGACACGCCCCCCGGCATAGACAACGGGATGAACCTGCGCCTCAGCGGCGAGGGCGCGGAGGGAGACCCGGGAGCTCCCCGGGGGAACCTGCTGGTCCAGGTACTGGTAGACGAGGACGACTACTTTGTCCGCGACGGCTCCAACGTGCACACCGAGGCCATGATCTCCATCACCCAGGCCATCCTCGGGGGCACGGTCGACGTCAAAACACTCGACGGCGAGGTGGAGGTCAAGATTCCGAAGGGCTGCCAGCCGGACGCGAAGCTCATGCTCCGGGGAAAGGGAATCCAGAAGCTGCACGGGGCGTCCAAGGGAGACCACGTCGTCCACCTCAAGATCGAGATTCCCAAAACGATCACGGACCGGCAGGAAGAACTCCTCCGCGAGTTCGACGAGGAAACGAGGGAGTGCGGGCACGGCATTTCCGGCCGGATAGCCAAGGCGGCGGGATCGGCCTTCGAATCGATCTTTGGTTCAAACGACGACGGCGGCGGCGGCGGCGACAAAGGAGAGAAGGGCAAGGASGGAGCGGGCCAGAAAAAAGAAGAGTCATAGCAAAGCAAATGAAAGCAGGCAATGGCGCAGACGACAGTATCCAATGGGATCGAGTGCACGTTCCGTAAACAAGCAAAACCTATCGCATTAGAAAGGATCCGCATTAGAATCAACAAACACCGGAAACAACGATAGCTAGTTTTGAATACTGTGTTAAAGAGTTAAAAAGTACAGTACTGTACACCACAAAGTATAATTTCTGGTTTTTCAGAATAAAATTGTGAGTTTTCCTTTTTTTTTGGGGTGCTCGGTAACATCATGTACGCGACRTCGCAGTAGCGACTTTGTACCGTACGTACGGTACCGTTCTTCCCAATGTGTTTTTCCCGCCACGCGACCAAAACACATCGAACATGCCGCAGGTGAAGACGTATCATTTATTTTTTAAATCGCAACACGGCACGAAACAAAATGAATTCGTCGGAATTGTGCTGATGATTGTGCGGCGATGATTCATTCGCTCCCAAATTTGGTTTCTCTCACCCAGAATTGAATGCAGTGCAACACAGCAGGCTATCGAACGAATCGTTTTGTTCTTGGCGCACTACCGARGGGCACGGTCATTGTAATCACACTTCCGACCACCGCACCGTTTCGATAGGCACCAGAACAGCAAGCGAGCCAGCTAGAAGCCAAACAAAGACACACACACACACAGACACAGACACACACAAAACACAAACCATGAATCCGACCCGTTCCGTCCTTCCACGCTCCGCCGGTGTCGCCCTGGCGGCGGTTCTTGTTCTGCTCGCCGCGACGGCTTCCGAGGCCTTTGTGCCGGTTGCCCCCGGCGCCGCTGCGACCCTTTCGTCGGCCTCCGCCCTGTGGTCCGATCCAAGCCAGGGGGGASRGCAGCAGCCCACCGGGCGGCTCGAGCGCATCGAGTTCAAGATCTATCCCGAYGGCCGGGTGGAGGAAACCGTCCTGGGGGTCCAGGGMGAGTCCTGCCTCGAGGTCACCCGGTCCATCAACGAAAAGCTGGGCAACGTGATCTCCACCACGCCCACGGAAGAAATGTACCAGGAGGAGGTCCAGATCGACCAGACCCTGTACAACAGCAACACGGAGGGCAGCGGCGACAGCGGTGCCTCCTGGGAAGGCTCCTCCTCGTGGTAAAACAAACGAAACCACAAAACGGTTCGGTTCCATTCGATTCGATTCCATTCGCTTCGCTTCACTCCACTGCATTGGGTCGTGGCTTGCGCTGGCTGGTTTGGATSCGAAAGCAGACCGTGGTGGATGCGTATCTTGTGTGCCTCCACTGCATGCGGCTCTGTTCGGAGTTTTGCAACGCTTGCACAAAACGGGGAACAAATACGGAGAGAGTGCGGGGCATCYATCTGTAGCCTAGAAGCATACCAGGATTATTCTAGAACGGCAGGAACAAGCACAAGCGCAATTCATTTTTTGTTCATTTTTTGTAGTAGAATAGAMACAGATTTTTTCCCACGGCCATGATCCATTTATTGTTTATTCTAATCGACGWCCTGCCTGTTTGAAACACGCCGTGGTATTTTTCTTACTTCGACGCCGCATACCTTTCCGAGAGAGATGGTCCCGTCCTACCCGAACGAAAAACGACGAACCACCTGCACATACACGCACACCATCGTTTCGAACACGCACCGTTTGTTGCGGGCCGCAGCAACACACGGATTGGTTTCTCCACCACCCGCACCGCAACGGTGCTCGCAACAGATCCCTTGAATCGGAAAGACGTGCGGTGCCCGTCCGGCGAACCAATCAAATCAAATCAAATCAGATCAGATCAAACCAAACCAAACCTGCTTGCTTTCACTCGGCAACGGCCTTCCTACTCCGGCTTGTCGACCTTGTTCCCGTACTCGTCGAGGTACACCCACTCGCCGGTCTTTTCGTCCACGAACTCGGTCCACTCCGCGTTCTGGGGGATGAGGCCCTCGTASACCGCGGGATCGTTGAGGACCCATTTTTCCTTTCCGATAATGTCGGTCACCTCGTGGCCCTCGGCGGCCAGGACCGCCTCGACCTCCTGTCCGGGGTTCAGGTCCAGGTGGTCCGTTTCGACCACCAGGGGTGGTTCCGTGAACTGATGCAGTGGCGGCGGAGACGACAGGGCCCACTCCAGGGAGTTGGCGATCAGCGGGACGACCACGTTTTCTCCGGACGACAGGTCGGCGCTGGAAAAGGCGCGGGCGGCTGGAACAGGGGGCGAAAAAAAAAAGAGAGAACGCAGTGTTGGGCAAGCGACCGCGGGCGGCGCAGCGCATCGCGGCAGGGTGGGGCAACAAGCGAGGCAAGGTTAGTGCACAAATACGGTGCGGGGCGTGAGAAAACCAATACAGTACACCGCTAGCAGGAGGGTTCGAACCGCCGCTGCACGTGCTCCGAAAGGCATTCCGGCGTCCGGCTCCGATCGACGGAGGATCCGGACCGGTCTCGCACCCTKCCGGGGTCGAAACAGAATTCCGCCATCGGCAAGCAAACACAAACCGTCCGTCGTCCGACGAGGATCCTTCGGGTCGGTGCCTTTCCCCCGTCTTGTTTGCAAGCAAGGCCCGTGCAACGACACTRCACAAGCACGGGCACGGTCACAAGCYACCAACAGTACTCACCGGATCTCGCCACGGCGGGCTTTGCAATCCTTCGAGCAACAATCGACAACATGGTTCTTATTGGTATCGTTATTTTGGTTGATTGGCAAGACTAGGTCCGAAATCCGTTGCTTAACGTACCGTACGTACGGCACGGTACGAGTTTTTTCGGTGTCTGCGCCCTACCTACGGCAATCGTGTACGGATCCAGCTGCTGCGATGCGATGCGATGCGTCGCCCGGGGAGAACGATCATCGAGGAGGCTGCTTGTTGGCCATGCAGAGAAGAAGGTTCAATACTGGTTTCTCCTCCTCGGCTCGCTTGATCGAGATCTCGCCTGCKCTTAATTAAGGACGGGTACGGTAGAGAACGGTTCGCCAGAGAAACCAAAAATAGAAAAAATACGCGCGAATAATGAAAAATATCGCGCGAAGACTGAATGCTGAAAAAATTGAAAAAATAGTGTGAGAAATAAATGTACGTATCTTCTACGTACGTACGCCACCGCAAAGTTTCGAAAAATCGATGAGAAAAAGAAGTTTACCTGCCATCCGCTGAACACAGCCTCTCTCCATGTTCCCCGTACACCATCGGGGACCAGAGATACTAGYCAACAATGCCAACACTCATCGAGCAGGAATAGGAAAGAAAAACCATCCGTGCTGCACAACCGATACTCCTTTAGCTATCGAAACCTTCCTTYCCCCCMTTGCGAATCATGACGRCGTCCTACGCAAACGCCACTTCGAAAACAGCAGGAAAAATGACAAATTGTCACAGCCTCCAAGGGAAATTGAGACTCATGTCAGAGACACGGCATTGCTCGAAACGCAACAAAACAACAACAAAGAGTGCGGTTGTGTTTACCGCAAACAGTAGTCYAAAAACAAATGGTGGTGATGTGCGAAAGCGYTCCTACGCATCCGCCCGGGATGGTATGGGCCTCGTTGGCATTCGCAATGCCTCGAAACGGCGCAGCGATCGGTTGAAAATAGTGTCGGTGACTGCTGTTGTCGACAAGAAAAGCAAGGCACACGRCCACGGGGAGGGCAACATTGGAAAGGCATCTGCYGATGCTTCTGCGGCGGGGGCAACCRCAAAAACGACCCMARCRCCAAAGAACGAGGGAGGGGAAGGATCGTCCTCGTCTGCGGCACCKCCGTCCCAAGCAGCACCTCTGTCCCGGGGAGAATCCAAGAAAGAAACGCCCCCTTCCTCCGATGCCGCGAAGAACGGCGGCGGGGGCGGGCCCGGAAGGAGCAACACTCCGGGCGATCCAGAGAATCCCAGAGACGCCAAAGGAAGCAACGGCCCTGCACACACGACCACAACGACCACGACCACGACCACGATGCTTCTGCACCCTCTGGACGTGAAAGAATACGAGGAGGCGGAGGAACGCCAAAAGGAAGCCCTCCGAAGGATCGAGGGAGCCCGGCAGCAGGTGTACAAGGACCAGGTCCACCAGGTATGGGGTCTGTACACGTACGGCCTGAAGCACGTGCTGGGAATCAAGGACCTGTCCGATGCGCCCGATGCCATTATGAAAACCATGTAACAAAAAATAGAACGATATGAATCGAACCGAACCGAATAGCTAATCGAATCAGTACGAATAGAATCTATTGAAAGTCGGACTCTTCCTTTGTTTGTTTCATTTTCGTAACCTTGAATCCAAACCGTCGTCACACACTGTACMAAAGGTGGAGCAAGACAAGGGTGTCTGATATTGAAAGAGTCAAAGAATGAGCAAGGCCGCTGAACAAATCTTGCGTATCTTGTTGTACTGCTGCGTGCTATAGATTCGCGAAGTGACACAGGAGAGATCCTCGTCCTATCGGCTGTCTGCAACTAGTTTTTTCTTGGCATGAAAAAGAACGAATTTTGTGCTAGAAAACGACACCCGTACGGTACGAGAGAGTTGGTAGTAATTGTTATTTTTATTAAAGTTTTGTTGTTATGTATTGATATCAGTATTATACAGCGAAAGTACCCACATGTACACATAGTTGGAAATCACAATCAACATATATTATGAAGAGCTCACCAAGCATAGTTAATAGGCGGCACATGCATTCTTCCTGGCTTCTTGCCAACAAATCATCCCGCTCATTTCCGTGTCTTCCAGTAAGTCTTTTTTAGAAAAGAGTTTGGGGTCTTCTTACAACGATACCTCCACACCTTTGTTGCATTCGTTGCCCGCATTGCCATCAAATGTGGGCAGTGTAAGRAGTGAGTGAACCGCAGCATGGTCGTTCAAATAATAGTTGTCGTCTTGGAGAGCAATCTCTTGTCCTTTGTCACTCGGTGCGAGAAGCACGTATGGTTTTTGAGAAGATGATTGTTGTTGAGAATCATCTTCCGAGTGTGATGCTGTAGAATGTGTCGACGACGGAATGATAGATTGTGTTTTGTACGTTGTGTCGACAACAATCTTGCTGGTACCTTCCACCTTGATGGGCGTTTCGTTTGTCGATACGTCAACTGGTTGTTCCTTCACACCGCTGCGAAGGCGTTTCATTAATGACGGCTTCTTGTTATCTCGTTTGGGTCGGGACTTGCCAGATCTGTTGCGTGCGGAAAACCCACTGAACGGATTGTCGAGCTTTCTTCTTGTTTCAGACGAGAATTCTGAGCCAGCCACCGATCGACCCATGAAGAAACGAGTATAGCTTCGCGCGCTCTTGACGCTCTTGTTTCCGTCAAGAAGGCTGTTGTGTCTTCGCAAAGCACTGGGATCCATATCGCTCTTTCGACTCTTTTCAGACGAGTCAGAAGAATGTTGCTTGGTGCTGCTGCTACTGTTACTGCTAGTAACATTACTTGGAGTGGTAGCAGTGGTGTATTTCTGATCATCTCCATCGAATTTCGCTCGTAGTGAGACAAATTTTGCTTCTGTGGCCTTGGTGTTGACTGGCTGTTTGGATAGAGGGTCGGCATCTTTCTCCTTTTTCGATCGAATGAGTTTCTTTAGGCCTCGTCTCTTGCTTRGTTTGTCTTGGCTTTCGACGAGTCCTGTCTTTGGAGAGCAGGTGGTCGAGTCCGTTGCTGGTGTCTCTTCAAGAATTGTTGCCGGCTTACTGTTTGGGATGCTCTTCTCAGACGCAATGGCTCCTTCAGATGCAAGCTTGCCTGGCAAATAYGATTTTCCTTCTTGTTCCGTCGCGGATTCTGAGATTGAAGGCAAGGGTGGTACATGAAGCATCATTCCACCGAKAGCTCGCGTGTGTGAGGAAGAGTCGGCGATGGTAATATTGACAACATCTTTTTCTTCGTTTTTCTTTGGTACCACGGAAGATRCGTCGGTAGCCACACTTCTAGCATCGGCACAAGACTGCGTGTCGAAACTTCGTGTGTCGAAACTTTCTGTTTCGGCGGTTTTCGATTCAAAAGATTGCGATTCGAACGTTCCTTCGAGACTGTCCGAAAATGACTGATCGGAATCGATGAGATTATCAATGAATCCAGCACATTCCATGTTTTCGCATCCAGCGTAAATAAGGTTGTTGAGAGCAAAGGCAGTCTCAACTAGCGCGGTTGGAATCCCATCAGCGATCATTGCTCGCCCTTCGTCGACAATATCGCTCGAAATATCTCTAGTGGCAAGTTGCGTTTCCTTGGTCACATCAGTTTGTTTTCTAGGAGACTGTTCTCCTGAGGTTACATCTTTGCTTTTAGTCATTGTGCATTGAGGTCTTTAAAGAAATTGTTGTAGGTTTGAAAAAGAATACGAAAGAAGCTGCCTCTTATGTCAAATAAAAGGACACTACATTGAATAGTGAGCAGTATAATCGATGTCACACAATCGAATGTCACGCCTAAAAAGAGCATCACAACAGTATTGGCGATAGTCCAAGARAATTCTGCTATCGCCACTTACGACCTTGTGGCGATGGGCATAATAATTATATWCCGTATTGATATAACCAAAAACAATGCTCAAACTGCGGGTACGGGAATTGAATACCGTATTGTACATCAAAGATGTCTAAGGTTACGGTCGATGCATAGAATGTAACATTATGATTGGTACTTTCAATTTTTACGGTTGTCTCATTGATATGTTCTTTACGAATATTCTCTGAGAAGACTGAGAGTCATGATCATTCATTTTTCTCCTGCAATTTTTTTACCTCTGCCTCACAGCATCTAACCTGCGGAACTGGGTAGGGGTCGTACTCACGACAAGTACCTGGTATCAGTACGAGTTAAAAAACTTCGCCCCCAAACAAGACGAGAAGGGACTGCCCTGATGCTCGTTGTTCTCGTGCCATACCGTACCGGAAGCTTTGTGAGGGTAGCCACAGTAGCTAGCTTTCGTACGGTACGAGTTTAACTTGAGTAAAATTACACCTAGAATTAACGCAGGAATTTTGGCCCACTACTACTGTAACTTCTGCATACTAGTTCTAAGCCGCCAGAGCATCCTTAAGCATCCCAATGACCTGGATCACTAAGTAATTGTATTATCTTGGTCTGGGCGCTTAGTCTGGTACTCTAAAGTTGTTTTTTGATAGAGTTCTGGCCTATTTCCTAACTAGCAGGCGCTCTTGTAAACCGGCCAATTTTGGCCATACCGGGTGTTAGTGGAGAATCGCCCCCCCCCTGGCCCCTAATCGTGTAACAATGACACATGGGGCTATTCCCAAAACTATAAGGAAGCTTTTCCCCAAAGGGGATCTCATTAGAAGCCTTTCCGGAGCTGTTGTGTTTAGCTTATTTTACCTCATTGAGCTGTTTGTAGTGGAAAAAGTGACCGAAAACTAGTAGATTTGTGTAGGACCAGTACTAAAATATGGTGCCCAAAATTAACCGTGATGCTACTAGTAAAAATTTTTGGTGTTTGAATAGAATGCCTTTCTGCCCTGTAGGACGTGGTAGGGTTCATACGGTTAACGCATTTTACTCCGATTAAACTCGTAGATTTCTTCTCACATGTCAGGAAGAAAAATACCTGTACGTAACGACACAATATGGTGAAGCAACAACGAACATCATCATCTGATGTGCATCCGAAAGTAGCAACACGTTTGAGTTCAACATTTCGTAGTACTGTACCCTCCAACTCTACCTAGATCATCGATTTCTCAAAGGTCTTGCTCGCTCCGAACCAGCAAACAACAATCAATCTATTCTAGTTATAAGGAAGGCGTTTACAGTTGGATATGGACAAGAAAATCTCGTCCGAAGCTGAATTTGCACTCAAAACCGCAAAAGAAAGAGCGGTGGCCATTTTGATTGACTCCGATGTCACCCTCCAGGAAAGCCTCCAAGAATTGGAAAGGGCAAGGGAACTTGCCGGGAAAGCCGGTCTTTCCATAGATTCATCTATCGTCAAGCCCGTAGACACTACTCTATCCGATGCAGGGGTTCCATCGACGACTTCGAATTGGGCAAATGAAACTACTTGCGGACACTCCAATACAGACCACATTGTGGTGACGACCGGAGATCCCCGTCTCGATCGCATCGCTGAACTAAAACGCAACCTGCTGAGACGCCACCGGGCTATGCAACCAGAGGATCGAGGAGACGACCGATGGGACAAACCTAAGCTTCCTGGAGAACGACGACGACGAATCGTACGAGAACAGGACAAGGAYGAGTATCCATCCGAACCACCGATATCTGGTTGGTGAGTGATTGTTTTCCTCCAGTTGCGGATGAAGCTGCCTCCGTCTTCTCCAATATTTTCAACTCTCGATTCGAATTTTTCTGACTGCTAACAATGTTTATACCAACCTTATTGATCACTATTCGATGTCTTTTCAGGTGTGTGTTCATAAACCAAATGACGGTAAAAATGCGCCATGATAGACCAAATGAGCGGCACGATCAAACCAAAGGTGAGCAACAATACGGAGGAATTCAACTTAGTGGGAGTATAGGAAATCTGAATCGATTGCATCAACTTACCATTCTGACTCTTTGCTGCTGATCATTGGTCCTTCTAGTCGTACAGCAACTAGCAAAAATATGGAGGGTTGGCATGTCAAAAGACGAACGCGAATATTTCACAAAGTTTGGTACGTGTCCTTTTTCTGTTACATCTTTTAAATGTTGGCAACGCCTATGTTCTTTTCGTTTTGCCCGAACTGTCAATTATCAAAATCGTCTAATTCTTTCTACCACACGTTGCAGCCGACGATGCAAGGAAAGAATACGAGCAACAAGTCATTGAATATCGTGCAACCGGAAGCTATAAGCCCAGCAAGCATTTCAAACGATTGGGAAATTCTTCTGTTTGGGTCCGCAGGGATAAACCAAGTCCTCTCGAGGAGGAGATATGTTCGTACGAATCAATACAGTTTCCAAAACGTCCACCCGAATTGGACCAGGAATACGAAGAACGCGAGATTCGAGGTATACTCAAGCGCAAATTAAAACTCAAAGGTTTGCTCAACGACGATGGCGAAACCTGGAAGGAGGGGGTCGACTTTGAAGCAGAGCTCGAGCTAGAACGAAAAAGACGGAAGAAATTGAAAATTTAGTCATTGGTTGAGAAGTTTAGGAATAGTCATTGGTTGAGAAGTTTAGGAATCAAAGGAACTCTATTTCATCCCACGTATTGCACTGATATACGTAGTTTTGTCCGGGTCAAAATATTATTGGTTCGTTGGGAATGTTCTGTCCGTGAATCTGTTTGAGTCGAGAAGATCAATTCTGCTTGCTGTGTACGCATTGTTTTCTACAGTGGCCTAATGGAATCACATGGTTCGATTCTCGTCTTCGCTTCCGCTACCTTYATGCCGCTTGATGACGTTGATGGGGGTGTTTTGCAGAGTTGGAGGAGGGAAATCTTCTGAAGAGTCGTTTCCTCCGACTTGGATTCCCGTGGGTATTTCGATACTATTCGMGTTCGTTGTCAAAGCCGATGCTGTCGAACCATCTCCTTCATGTTCGGGGTTCATTGCAAATTTCAAAGCACTTGCTTTGCTGGTACCGGAAATATTCACGTCCCTCCCTTCTGATTGGTCACCCGCTGCATTTCCGCTATCCAAACTAGGGTCTGAGGAACCTTTCGCCTTGTTCGAATCTTGCACTTGGTTCGATAAATCCGTTGTGTCCATCAATGTGATCTTCGGGGTACATGCAGGGCGGGCATCATTGCTCTTTTCCCCTTCCATTTCACTGGATTCCGGGTGCAATGATTCAGTGTTCAAAATGGTGGCATCGTTCGGAAGAACGGTTTGGGATTCCTTTCGCTGTGTTCCMTTGGGCTTGCTGTTCTCTGTGGTCGATTCGATTAGGTCCATGGTGCCATCCAGAATTCTTCGGGAACCATCCTTTCCCTCAATGTTTGCATTGTCTCTGGCATCCATAGTGGCAGTATGGATACTTTCGCTCGTAGAAGAAGAGCCAGCATCAGTACTAGTATGAGTACCAATACTAAACTCAAACTTATCGATCCTAGCATTAGAACTGTTACGTTCTTTCTGCTCTTGTTGACAACGCGGGTATAGACGGTTGGAACTTGTAGGTAGCTCTTGCTGTTGAACTATCAGAGCCTCTAATCTGGTTGCCTCTGCCCTGAGTAATTCAGATTCCATCCTCAATGTTTCGGCCTTCGACAAAATCATTTTCGGAAGCACGGCGTAGTCGTCAATCGTTTTGAATTCTCGGGCCAAGATCTCTTCTTGCTTTATTCCCAATGCTTCCTGGTATTTCTCRAAATCAAAACTGAAATCACCATCGGTTGACCCTCCTTGTCCAAATTCCTGGTTGGTGGAGTCTCTCCCTTCCTTGGTGCCCGCATCAACTAATGCGGGAGTTGTTGTGGAYGACTCCTTCGTGCCATCATGTTGCCGACGGGCGGAAGTGATCCTGCGATGCTTCGCCAGAGCATCCGAAGCGATCGCCCCGATAAGCTCTTTCACATTGTGGTCTTGCATGCGTTCGAATTTCTGATATTTATCCCGCTGTTGATCGAGGCACCGTCGGACCGCGAGGAGAGATTTGTTCCGGCGCGAGGTTGCTGCCTCTTGGGCACTATTTTGTTGCTGAATCTTTTCCCGCTTGCGGATCAGGTCATCGTGCTGGAATTGATACTGTCACCACGCAGTGATAGAAAGAAACGAGATATAAAACAATGAATCGGTGAATTTCAGTCTTTGCGCCAATCAGTGGATCATCGAGGAGAATGGGACAAGGAAGTACTGCACAAAGCAAAAGGCTCCGTGCAATATACACAGCACACAATGCATGATACACAATAGCGCAGCGGATCGAAGAGACAAGTCACGGCAGCACAGAATCGGGCACTTGRTGCTCGATCCCCGTGACATGATTATTCCACACTCACCTTTTGTTGCAGTTCCTGGATTCTAGCCTGAATTCGCACGATTTCCTCYTCGGTTTTTGTCAGCTCTGTTTGCGATTCGATGACTTTCTTTTTKTCTTCTTCGAAAGACGATTGTTCTTCGCGGAAGGCTTGCTTGGCGGCCCGGAGTTTTTCCCGAGCGATTTCGCACAGGCGGTGTTCGTGGTCTCGGTCGCGACGGACATCGACGAGGGCACGCTGAAGCCTCTGAACGATTCCCTCCTTGCCACTACCACTGCCACTCGCATTCGACTTGCYCGCACCGCTGCYAGCAMCGGAGGCGAACTTGCTGTACGGACGCTTATTCTGTCCGAGCGCCATTCTGCTGCGAGAAGCAGTACCGGCAGCAAGAGACGGTTGGCTGTGCATCGGAAGGGGCATKGTGAAAAGATAGCTTCTRGTACTACGATCTAACGACGAAKGGCAGTGATATGTTTCACACTACAAGCAGCAGAGAGATTGTGAACGAACAGTCATCCGGACGGCAAGAAACTCAACGGTTCGAAGGCAATGGCAAAAATGAGAGCGATTTTTGGAAGTGCGATGGGACGGTGGTGGGATCTTGCTTGTGATATTTTCGTGGGAGAGATGGACGAAAGAAGCAAGCTTTCAAAGAAAAACTTRAAGACCGAAACATTACAGTAAGGTTTCCGGTGGGAACMAAAAAAATCTCTAACTTWAACCCTAACGCCAAATTCGGTAGTCTTTCGATAGCACAAAAAATTCAAACCGAACGAAGGCAGTGCAACAGGAACTAGTACGTACAGTAAAGCAAACTGTGTGTTCATCTCTACGCGCACAGCAGYGTTGTAAAAGTCTATCGGTTTTGGTAAAATTTGACTACAGTATCCARAAGAGACAAATGAAGACATGTTTTCTTGATTTTTTTCTGTTCGTGACGTTACATTAAAATTTAATACAGTTGTAGAGAAATGATTTTGTAGATTGCCAAGCTTTCTGTATGATTGCATATAAAATCACACGATCTTGTTTCCCAGTCGATAGTAATATGCAATGATCTCGGAGAAGATAGGAGACGGAACAGCCTGCGCTTCGCTAAAATGSTTTAGTGATCGGCAAACGTTGAACAAAACGAGTCTTCCCTAATGATTGAATATACCATCCTACCCCAATCCAACCGACAACAAAAGAGAAATAAGACCCTGTGGTTGCCACCGATATTGCAACGCGCCAGGAACGACATCCAGACTAAGCGAGTTTTATGCTGACAAGAGCCACGTTCTTCACTGCTTTCGAACACAAGGGGTGGAGTGTTCGTGTGGTCACCCTGTTGAGAAAAAAATTAAGAAACAAGAAACAGAAAATAATGCATGAGATCGACCTGGTTTGGCATCCAAATGCAACGAAGATCCTGATCATTCAACGGATGTGACACGTACCTAAATGCTTTCGCTTGCGGGTTTGCTTCCACGCGTACGAGACAGCCAACATTTATGTTGTTGCCGTTGCTATCCTTTGACCCTGTGCGGAACGTGGCAGCTCCGGACACCGTCCAGGGTGTTGGGTCGCACCCTTGACACCGTCCGAATTTGAGCCCGTTCGTTATTATGTTAGCAATGCGCTTCATGTACTCTTCGTCGATGTCGGGTGCGGCGGCGGGTGTTTTCACAACTTCCTGGCATTCTCGGTCTTCGCCGTCCAAACTCCTCCACCTCTGCATAAATGCACCGGGCTCGAGAGTAACTGGCTCCATAAAACAGGTAGCTACGATGGGTAAACGCAGAGGGTATTCGTGAACCTCGCCGTCTTCCGTCTCAAAGAGCACGCGCATTGCGGGGGCATCGTCGAATGGGGCGGTAACCTCAACCAGCAACAGCAGTTTGGCTTGGGTTCTAACCTGGACGTTGCAACCTCCGTCCTCGCTTTCGTCAAGAAGACCCTGTGTCCCTTGCTTCTGAATTCTCAAATGATCCGGTTCGTCAACAATAGCTCGGAAATTCAGCAACGGCGCCTTGCTGAGGTTTCCAAAGAAGACAGAAATTCGCCCTTGGGCACCCACGTATTCGTGTTTCACGCCAACCTGCAATAGCGAATTTTCGAATAAAACACCGGACCCAGATGTGCATAGATTGGAAAATGCCTTTCGCATAGCTGGAATCACGTCCTTTGGAATTCCGACAATTCGTCGTTCCTGTTGTTCCACGGGCTCTGGGCTGCCAAGACCATCTGWATCAAGATCGATTTGTCAATTGTCAGAAAACAAATTTGTACACAAATTTCCAAACGCAATATAGTTTCACACGATGCGTCTTGAACAAAAACAAATAAACAAWTTTTTGGACCTACCACTGATTGGACTGATCGGATCGTTCATGGCGTTTTGTTCTGCTGCTTGTTGCGCCGCTACTTCCTCGGCCGCTCTGGCTGCTGCCTGGCTCTGTGCCTGGCGCTGCCGTTGTGCGGCACTCGGACGGATCGCCTTCGCCACGGCCGCACTATCTTCTCCTTCCTTCTCCTTCAGTCGCTGTTCCAGTGCACTCTGTTTCTTGTCCTCGAACGGAGGCATCTCACGGAGCAGGTCTTCTACGGCTTCCGGACTAAAGGCCTCTCTCATGGCAGCGTATTCCGCGGACCGCTGCTGGATTTCCACGTCGACMGAGTTCTTGCAACGAGCAAACACGGGTGCTACCAGCGGTCGGCACTCCTCGTAGAGATTGGMGAGTTTGGCATAGGTGCTGATGAGAATTCCACGCGTCTTGGCATCCGATGTGGCCCAGTGCTGGTGCAAGATTCGGAATTGTTCTTCCCCGCTCATACCGGGACGTTCGGCCACCAAAAATCCGAATTCTCCGAGAACGTACGCCGCGACACGCACCGTCGTCTCGTGGCACCTGCGGGGACTGGCTCCCACCAGCAACGTGGCTGCTGTGTAGGCTTGTAGGTCTCCCTGTGGGTGGTTCGTCACAATTTGAACCACGCGGTGCCAGATTGCGTCGCTCACGTGATCGCCACTGATGGAGATGAGCTTGAGGATGGTATCGACGTACCACCGCAGATCGGTGGCGTATTTCTCCGCCAGAATGGCAATCTTCAAGACCATCTCCTCCCTGATCGCCGCATCTGCCAACGCCAGGTGAGCCACCAATTCGTCCACGATTCGCTCGGCGTTGTCCGTATCGCACATTACGAACAACAGATCCAGAGCACGCCGGCGGACACTAATGTCGGCGTCCTTGAGGGAAACAAGGACGGTTGCCTGGTGTTTCTTAATGGATTCCGCGGTTCCTTCCAATTGTGCCAATCTGGCCATGGTCAGGAGACCCAAATACCGAATGTTGGGTTCGCGCACGGAGATGAATTTTCCGAGCAACTTCATTGCCCCTTCTCGCAGTTGMGACGGCCCGGAAGGACCCCAGGTAACGATCAGATTGACGGCTTCGAACAAGATAGCATGGTCGGCGTTGGATTTGTTGATCGAGTCCGACACGTCGGTTTCGGTCAAGATTTTGGAAACAACGCTGACGAGTTGTTGAATGTGCTGGTCTTGCCCACCGTTCTTTTGGCCCGAAGAGATTGCTTGGGGATACAACTGGAGGAATTTGAGCAATTTGATTTGCAGCCACGGACTGGGGGTTCGGTAGTAGAGATATTCGCGGGCGCACGCCTTTTTCAAGACCAGCATTCCCAGTATGTGWACCRCGTACGGAATCAAGGACTGGTAGTCCTGGGGGTTCTGCGAGGCCAGACCGTACAAAAGACTCGCGCTGCTGGTCAGAACCCCGAGGTGTTTGTCCTGCAAAAGCTGGGCCATGTGCGGGGCGAATTCCCGTCCCGTCACGAGCTTCGGGCTCGTGCGGACCAACCTCAGGAGGCACAGCGCCGCCTTCTTTTTGACACAGGGCGTGGACGATTTGGCGGTCAGGGTGTGCTGGACCTCCGAGTGAAGCGTCTGGATCAGCTCGAGGCCGTTGATGTTGGCAATCGAGCAGAGTGCCAGGGCCTGTGCCGTGTCGGTYGTGGGCGCGTTGTTCTTTGCCGAGTTCGGTCCGGGGGTGGTCATGTCTCTGCGAATGGTATTGAGAATCGAGTTCATCATGGGATCGTCGCTCCGGAGCAACAAACTAAGCGCTGTGTATCCCACGTGTTTCTCCGCGTATTTGTTCGATCGAACGAGCGCCAGGACTTCCGCGTGGCCAAAGTCTACATCGTACCCCAAGACGTGAATGTAGACAAGTTTCCAAACATATTTCTTCCTCGAATACGAATTGAGAGCGGTGTTGCTTCCGTCCTCGCCGAGATTCTTGCCCGTGGCGGTGAACTTTTTGCGAATGTTCGCCAATTCTTTGTCGACACGTCGCTGCTCTTGCTCCTTTATTTGTTATTGCGTGGGGTTGGATTCGGTTGGTGTCGTATTGAATCGCATTGAATTGCATCGCGCATCAGGGAAACACGGGGATGACCGCCGAATGAAACCGAGGTGAGGAAGACTGTGGTGTGCTATGATGTATTGTATCGGGTCCCGTGGACAAACAAGACAGACAGTGCAGAATTGCATCTCTGTACACAGATGCAACGCCACATTTAACGATATATTCGTGGGATRACCCSCTGAAACGACGATTCGATTCAAACACACTACAGCAGAGTCTAGGAAGTCCTCCGCTGCTAGTTGCCATCGATGGATCGCTATTGCTCTACCGTCCGCTTACCTTGGACTTGGCATTCCGCAAGTCAGWGATGAAATTTTGCAATCCTCTCGCCTGAGTTGCCATTGTCAAAGACGCCAATGATGTTTTGTTACACCGTCTTCACTAGTGTTGCTTGCCGCTGGTGTTGTTGTTCAGTAGGATRCTGTTCTTGGTTAAAATCTTCAACGAGATGTCCTTGCCGAAGGGTGGGACAAAAGAGCATGGCTTTTTGACGATGATGCGGTGCACGCTTTTTCGTACGAGTACACGGTACAGTACGTAGGCAAATTGCCGTAGGACGAGTACGATCCGTTGTGTCTGGTATAAACGAGTAGGAAAGCTGTGTAGACAGCACTAGCATTGGACCGACAAAAAAGAGAAAATTTCCAAAAAAGACTTTTTTCGAGAGCATGGAGTTTGATTTGGCAACCGTGCGCGCGAGCATTTCCATATCTCAATCCCACGAGTCGAACGGAAAGCAATGTGGTTCGTGACTGAAAAAGTACGACAAACGGAAAGACAGATAGACCGAATGCCATTATTCCCCTCGAAGTTAGGACCAGCTTGTGATTTACTACGTGGTATTGCCTCACAAAGAGAAATCAAACTTCGTCAGAAGTCAGAACSGAACCGTTCCGAACGGTATTTTTGTGCTCGTAGCTTGAACTACGAGTACTTGTACCAGTACTTGATACTTCCTTCTACTACCGGCGCTATAATGTGGAACGGTGGTACTTCGTACTACGCAAGGTACGTACGATCTCGTGTGTGAAAAGCCGATCTGCGCGTTGCACACGAACAACACGCAAAAAAGTAAGCCCCCGGGGACTTTTTGACCGAACGCGGAAGCATTTCCATTCGTGGTTGTCCTGGTGAAAAGAGTCCCCGTTCCGTTCCGTTCCATTCAAAAAATCCCACGATTGACGAGACGTGATGTGACACAGGACGCGACGATCGGGTGCTGCGACGATCACCTTGCACCCGGGTTGGTGGGTGTAGTCTCGATGCACCCCATGCCGCATCCCCATACACGGTACCAAATCACTGGATACAAGAACCAATAGCACGGGTACGGCAATCGCGCATCTTGTTTCTCTCCAAATCCAAAACTACGTTTAGAAAGAACGACCATCGCAATCCCAGTTGCCGTTGCCGTTGCCGTTGCCACCAATTGATGATAAGCAATCACTGCACCCTGGCCCCGTCGATCGAAAACAGCGACGGCCTTTCTCRAKAACACCCTGAGAACTTGATGCCGATTGTCGTCAGCGATTGCGGATTCTGAGCGAGTTTTGAGATACAGTATCGAGGAAGCAGAACAGAAACYGACACGAACTCTTTTTCGAAAATCCTTGTCACACAAATCAGATTCGTTGGCAACACGACATCCCCACCAAAGAAAGAAACAAAGCAGACTGGACAAAAGCAACACTTCAAAAAAGATGGTTTCGCGTTTTATCGTCGCTCCACTATCGCTCCTCGTCGCCGCTTTGGCGACGATTGCCTCCGGAAACAGCAGCAGCAGCAACAACAACACCAACAACAACAACGACAACAAGTCCTGCGACCTGGAGTGCCCCAGGAACGCACCGTGTCGGTTCGGCCACGCCGATTTTTCGGGCCGCCTGGATGCCGGGACGCTCGGGATGGAAACCCACCGCAACGGCATGCACTGTGACTGTCCCATAGGTACGTTCGGACCGCATCGCGCGCTGTTGGTGGCATCTCGCCGCACCGGATCGACGGGAGAAAGGGAATAGCGAATAGCGAACACGAGACGAGGGGCAGATGCGTGGGCGCGTGAATCGAGGTCTTGGACGGCTTTGGCAGAATTGTTCTTGTTCTCACCGTGTGTTGTGTTGGGTTGGGTTGCGTTGCGACGCATTTCATTTCGTTTTGTTTCCTTTGGTTCGCTTCGCTGCCGCGTTCTTTCGTCTCGCCCGACACTGGATTGGATCGGACCTGACCTCCAGGCTGGACGGGAATTTTCTGCGACAGAAAGTACGAGGCCTGTTCCAACCAGAACGGCCACGAGTGCTACAACGGAGGAGAATGCATCCTGGGCCTCCAGGACAAGTACGGAAACGACCAGCTCTTTTGCGACTGTTCCAGAGCCGASGGCTACGTTGGAAAGTACTGCGAAACCCCCTCGGAACAACAATGCGGTGGCGGCGGTGGCAACAACGCGTTTTGCGTCAACGGAGGCGAATGCAACCCCGGATTTCCGTGAGTCTCGAAAGCGAAAGGAAGCGCAACCGACGCGGTGCTCGGTCGGACAGATGCCGTTCTCTCGTTCTCTCGTTCCATTGTTGCGCGATTCCTCACGAGTCGTGTTTTCTTGCTTTCGTTGGACCGTGTTTGTTTCTTGGCTCTCTGGACGACAGAGWGGAATCCTCGCACCCGTGTTTGTGTGGCGAAGGTTGGGAGGGATACCATTGCGAGGTGAGTAGATGCGAATGCGATGCCGCCCGTGGACTTCCAAACGATAGCCATACTCACACAGTTCCTGTCGTCTTCGTTTCTCTGCCGCACACCACGCACACACCCGGTCGATACAGTACGAGAAAGACACCGTCCCAAGGTGCACCCTCGATTGCCAAAACGGCGGGGTGTGCTTTGTCGATGGGTCGTCGTCGTCGTCGTCGTCGTCCGCGGCAGCGGGTGCGGGAGCTCAAACCCACCGGTGGTCTCTCGAGAAAGACGAGGACCGACACATGTCGTGTGTGTGTCCTTCCGGCTTTGGTGGGCGCCTGTGYGAGGCAAAAGCCGAGCAGTGCGGCAACGACCCCGGCCACGCCTGCCTCAACGGAGGCAAGTGCGTCACCACAACGATTCGGGCGTCCGACGGAACACCGGTTCGMAACCAACACCATTGCGACTGCACGGTGGCTACCAGCGAGGACGGCAGCGATCGKTTTGCCGGAAAGTTTTGCGAACACAAGGCAACAAGCCTGTGCAGCGGCGACGATTGGAACCTGTTTTGCACGCAGGTAAGAATTCTGTATGCTCGGAGGAGACCAAATTCTGTTCCTCCGCGTTCTAGTAACGATTCTTGTACCTTACWATTCTGACCAACACATTGGATGCATTCCGTTCACCATCGCTGTATTTGGTGTTCTTTGTCGCACAGGGAGGYACATGCAAGACCAACCCGATCGAGGGATGTTCTTGTCGTAGTGGAACAGCTGGGTACAAGTGTGAATTCATTCTCGATAATTTTGAAGCGAACGACGGCGCCGTCTCGCCGGATGATATTTCAMACAACAGTGGGAAAGATGAATATCATCATCACACCAGCGGTAACGAAAAGAGGGTCGAGTGTGCCGGGGGATACTGTCTGAACGGYGGCCATTGTCTCACGGAACAAATCTTTYTGTCGGACGGTAGCACGGAGATGGAAGAATCTTGTGATTGCTCTCGAGCCTTCGATGCCACCTCCAACTATGCCGGTCCTTTTTGCCAATACAAGTCAACGAGCTTGTGTTTCGTCGAAGGCCTTTCCCCCCAGGATCCGCTGGAGGAAACCTTTTGTGTCCACAACGGTGTTTGCCAAGAAGATGGAAGCTGTGACTGTCCCAGAGGGTGGACCGGTCAATTTTGCGAAGTCAAATCTCTGGAGTTCCATCAAACACCCCACAACGATCTCGGCGATGGTGCCGGCGAGGAATTTGTCTTCGAAGACGCCTGTGGTGATAGCATTTGTTACAATGGAGGACAGTGCGTAACGACGAAACGAATGCAATCCGATGGGGATTGGATATTGGATCACAGTTGCGATTGTTCCGCAGCGTTTGACGAGAAGTATCTGTATGCCGGGGAGAGTTGCGAGTTTCCATCGACAAAGATTTGCTCGAGTCCAACAGATGGCAAGGGATTGGAGGGCAGGGCATTCTGTACCAACCACGGAACTTGCATGGACGATGCTCGACTGGGCTGTGATTGCCCACCTGGATTCTACGGATTTTCTTGCGAATACGAGAGTCGTGACACGGTAAGCAACGAAGAGAATGACAACACCGTTTGGGACGGGGACAACGAAAACGACAAAGTCAAAGAAACTGGCTTGGAAATTTGYGGGTAYGGGGTCTGCCATAAYGGGGGGAAATGCATTACCACCATCACCTACAACGAGAAAACGGACGCTTCTATAACCGACTATACCTGCGACTGCTCAACTGCGTACAACGACGACGTAGCGTATCTTGGTGCGTCTTGCGAATAYCCTTCCACGAGCGTTTGCGTACCGGCACAAAGCGGTGAGCCCTTGTCRTCGGCACATTTTTGCGTCAACCACGGGTCTTGCAAACAGGATCCTTCCAAGGGTTGCGACTGCAGAAATGGATTTACCGGTAGGTTTTGTCAGTTCGCGACGGAACCGAGTGGAGTCGATGGCGMTGGCGCTGGCGACGACGACAACAGCGATAGCAAGGAAGCCTGCGGAGACAATCTAGTCTGCCTGAACGTAAGTTTATTCATGCTTTTTTCGCTSCATCTAATGRCTKGCTGTGTGATGWATGCTGGAATGCATTTTGTATTTCGTTTCCAAATTGGATTTCTTGACTCTAATACGTTTCATATTTTCAACAATAGGGTGGAAAATGTATCTTGACCCTTACTGCAGGCGATGATGGTGACATGGTCGAAACAAGACATTGCGACTGTGCATCTGCCTCGGCTGGAGATGACACCTTTGCCGGTACTTCGTGCGAATACAAGGCGACGTCATTGTGYACTACTCCCACGCAAGAGTTTTTTTGTGTCAATGGAGGCAAATGTCAAGAAAACAATACCTGTGAGTGTGACACTGCGTGGAAAGGCAGTCATTGTGAATTACCTGTAGACCCGGAAGACCTGTTCAGCTACTACGACGATGACACCGACGACCTTGCCRACGACCAAAACAATRCCGTAGAATGCAACATGGACTGCAAGAATGGTGGAATCTGTGCCCAAGGAGCAAAAGACCTTGGTTCTCTGCGTGATACCATCGGAGACGTTGCTCATTTAAACCAGACACATGCTGAAGATCAGTTTGCTCATTGTGTTTGCAGCGACGGTTGGGTTGGTCTTACTTGCGAGCACAAGGTGGAAGTTTGCGGGGAAGGCCGACATACCTGTCTCCATGGTTCCAAATGCATACCGGACTCAAGCAGCAAACGGGGATATTCTTGCGACTGCTCCCAAGCCGATGACACGTTTGAGGGCAGCGAYGAGAAGCCTCTATTCGATGGAGAYTCCTGCCAATATGCCAACACCGATATTTGTACCATTGGAGATGAAGATCTAAGACAGCCTCTCTATTTTTGTGTCAATGGYGGYAGATGCAGAGCCTGGGTCGCAGCGGGCGAGCCAGATCCAGGTTGTRTCTGCACAGAAGATTACGTTGGACTTCATTGCGAAGTGAACAAAGTAGTCGCTAAGAATCGTGCTTCCAAAAGATTTTATGGCGACATTGTCATCATAGTCATGCTTGCCTTGCTCGGCATTGTGTGCGTTGTTGGCATTGGTATCGTGATTCGAGTGATGASTAAGAAAAATACAGCTACGAATGTGAAAAATGCTCCAGAAAACAATAACACCGGGTCTCCGTTTCCCCGACRCCGCCGTCGCAAGGGAGGATTTAAGGGAACACCCAAGCGAACGTCRCCGACGTCTATTGCAGATCTACCAACTTATTCGGACGATGGCGGTTTTCCCTCCAATATCGATCCCATTGCATTGGACTACACCGAAGGTCAGCGCGATGGGGTCATGACCGACAATTTTGAGGACGAAGGTGGACTAMCTCACCATGATGATTCGGCCAGCATAAGTTTCGAGACCACTTCATCAGATGGCGAAAATGAATATCCTGACTCAAGCGTCGTTTAACAATCTCAAATTCTCAAAGAACGCAGGGTTAGTATATGAAAACAGCTTGGCGAGTCGGGTTGGGGTTGGGGTTGGGGTTGGGGTTGGCGAGTCAAACGTAATCCACCCTTTGGTAAATTGTAATAATACTATTAACGTAATTCTACTAGTTTGCTCCTGAGGGCACCGAATTTCAAAATTGTGAGACGAAATTTGTAAAAACGCAAGTTCGACAAAATTGCCCTCACAAACATAATGTGTACAGTAGAACGCACCGCGCAGTATTTCTTCGCAAGAAAACTAGATAATGACTAACTCGACTCATAGTCGTCACATCCCGTATTCTAGCTAGTACGGTACAGTATTTTTTTCAATTTTGATCATCATCACCATCTGAAACCACTCGAACACGCCGAGTGCAAGCGAGTCCTAACAATGGGATAGAACGACGGTAGTATTTCCATTTTCACTGTTGTCTACTGTTGTCTAGCATAGACATCAGAGTAAACTGTATTATTTTTGAACACGTTGTTCAAAGTATCAGCMCCTCTATTGATAACCGGGCCAAGAGCTACCAAGGAATTCAGAATCGAGTAATTTACAATGAACGCCCCAGAAAGAACGCAATCGTTTCTTCTCGACGAAGATACTGGAGAACTCAAGATTGTATACACAGCAGATACGAAGGTAAGCTAAGGAARAGGTGGCGACTATGAGAATAGAAACATTATTGTTAGTGTTTTGTGGTGTGGAATGCTTTGTTTCATGGCAAAGGAAAAATTTGTGGTGTTGGCGTTATCGAGSCTTCACGTGACTTTTCTCTTTCATCAACTCATCATCTGTATTTTTCTTCGTATTGYTTTCTTTTCAAAATTGAAAGGTGACAAATGCTGGTACATTTCGTTTCAAYAAAGAAGACCACACAGTTGGAAACCTTTTCCGAATGCAGCTCTTGAGAGATCCCTCCGTTCGATTTGCCGGATACCTCCATCCTCATCCTCTCGTCTATTTCATCGATCTGAAAATTCAAACCAACAATTCAACCGTTGCCCCCGTAGAAGTTTTATCGGCCGCCATCGACGACTTGTCTAACGAAACAGACCACTTGATGACACAGTTTCAAGAGGCTTGCGAGGAATGGAAGCGAACGAATGACACAGAAGTCAGTGGGAATTTTTAGAAACAGTATACTGTACTACGATAACTAGTAATGTGGGCCAATACAATCAATCAAGAGTGAAAACAATTTGGAAACTAGTAGTCGCCRATTGATGCGTGCGAAGCAGCTAGACTTCAATGTTCAAAACTGTTCAATCAACTACGCTGCATTTTTTTTGCCTTGTCGGTTTAGTCTTTTTTGGTGTATGAACTACAGAGGAATGCTGATGATTTTACATAAGATCATATTCGTCATCTTCGTCATCCAAAATTATATCGTAGCTGTCGAGCTTGAGGTCACGGATTGATTCGGGTGGAGAGCTTCGTTTGGCARTATTTTTCTTGATCACTGATTTACTTTCGTTCGTTCTTGGGCGATTGGATCTACGTCGAGCTACTGGAATCGATGAAATCAGTGCTAGGTCCAAGGCCTCTTTGAGTGTTGAGCATTCGTAAACATCGAGATCATATTTCCGTATGCGTCTAGTTCCTGATTCTTCATTCGTTCCCTTTGGACTCGAAAATGATGTCTTTTTCTCCTTCCTTTTGAATTTCTTACTCGAAAACGACGATGATTTCGTTGATGCCACAATCACACGAGAAAAACCCATTCGTTGCGCTTGGAGTAATCTTGATTCGAGAGAGGGCAGGGAGCGCAATTCTCCCAGAAGGCCTACTTGTGCTAAAAAGGCAGTATCGCCTCTAACAGGTATCCCCAAATAACTGCTAGTCAGTGCTACTGTGACAGCTAAATCCAAWGASATTGTAGCCAAAGCAAGCTGGCTCTTGCTGACTGCTCCATCGCACCCAACCACATTCACGTAAACGTCTCGACCAATTTTACCACCGCCTGCTATTGGAAGCTGACAATGTTTTTGTAAGATCCCAAGCAAAAGGTTTAGTCGGGCGGCTGATAGCCCTCCTTCGACGGTCTTYTTCCCAAACGAGCCAGAAGGTAAAGTGACCAAAGCCTGAACCTCTACGGTCATTGCTCTGTGTGGCCCTTCGACACAAATACCCATGGCACAACCTTCCAAATCTTCGGAAGGTGGTGCCAATGCAGATTCTGAACCCTCGGGAAGTGGTACTAGAATCCCTGCTTGGAAATCGTAAAGCCCTGCCGTCTGGCAAGATCCGAATCGATTTTTCTGCGCACGGAGCCATCGAAAGTTGCCGTTGTTTTGGGACGCCGATGCCGACGATTGGGAGTGTTCCAAGTAGAGAACAGCATCCACCATGTGCTCCACCATTCTGGGTCCTGCAACATCTCCTGTCTTTGTCACGTGTCCAATAGTTAAAATAGGGATCTGGGTCGTCTTGGCCAGTCGCAGGAGGAGGGCCATGGACTCACGAACTTGTGAAATTCCTCCAGCGCTCGATGATCCCCCTGCCTCACAAACCATGGTTTGAATAGAGTCAATTACTAAAAGACTCGGTGGGAGATTTCGCGATGGCATGGGGGAGGATATCTCACCTAGTGCATCGTGATCTTCTGRAATTGAGTTACTGTTGTTGCTATCAATCCATGTCTGGACTACCTCGTCAACCAATGAATTGAGATTGGTTTCCGAAAGCAGAAATAGTTGCTTAGGCAATGAATCCATTCGGCTTTTGTCGGCAAGGGAGGCCCTTCCGGCATCGATCTCGTCGTTGCTTGCGACCAATCGTTGGGCCCTTGATGCAATTTGCTCCAGGGTTTCCTCTCCTGATACGTACCAGACGGGTCCCACGGCTTCCGATCTTGCCGGAGAAGGTCCCATGCCAATCCCCGAGGGAGGCACGGAAAGACTAGCCACCTGCGCCGCCATTTGCAGGGCGAGCGTCGATTTTCCAACGCCCGGATCTCCTCCCAACAAAATCAAGGAACCCTTCATCAACCCCCCTCCCAAGACCTCGTTCATTTCCTCGTCGTTGGGAATTTTCAGTCGAGCAGATCCCGGAGCATTCAAGTCTATGTCTGAAATAGAAATGGGGCGGCTGCTTGGATTTTCRTAGCTRAMAGCGCTAGAGCTACCTGTAGGAATTCCATCCAACCAAGACTGTCCACCAAAAGAATCCTCAGGCATGTCGTCGCTCCCGTAATCGCCTTTGTTTTTGGTCGTCGGTTTCCGACGTCCTCGTTGGTGGTTTCTTCCCAATCCTTGGAAGAGATTTTGCGAAGACCCCCCTATGGATTCGCTACTCCGTTGGACCGCAACTTCCTGAAAAGTGTTCCATTCCTTGCAAGTCGGACAACGACCTCGCCATTGTACAGATTCGCCACCACAGTTCGAACACACGTATACAGTGGTAGTCGTCTTGGAAGAAGTTCCCATTGCCTTGCGCTGAGAAGGACTCGATCGTCCTCTACCAAGACCAAAGGATGAAAAAGATGATGTTCCKGTGCTATTTTTGCTGCTGCCACTTGCATCGGCACTGGAAKGGTAGCGAAAATTTCGAATGTCTACTTCCGGTGGTTCGTCGTCCTCATCTTCGTCGTCCTCATTCATGAACATTTTTGAATTTTCGATGCGACTTGTTGGACCAATACCATGAATCAAATCAAAGAAGGATCGGAATCTACTATTTACCAAAACATGGTGCTTTTGCGATGGCGAACTGTTTTCTCGCCATCGCCATGAACAAGWTTTGGGGTTCTTGAAACTCGACCAACAGAGGGCCGATGGCACGGAAAACAGCTTCCAAYAGAGAACTATAAATGAAACAAAAATCTGCATTGTCTAAAGCACTCCGAATGCTTCTTCAGGCCCAATGCAACGATRTTCTTGTGCGTTTGTCGCGTTGGTTTTCCAAATGCCATTTATTGTGAGGATGGCACAAGATCACGAGTCGGTGATCTCAAATCACAAAGATCCTCCATCAGACCTTCTCTCACAAAATCTAAATCCATGGCATCAGAAATAGGAAGGAACTTGATCGCCGGAGACTAGTTTGGTACTGAAATAGKCCCTCATTTCATTTCACCAGAACGTTCGAAGAAAAATTTTACGAATAGAACTTTAGTACTGCTGCTGGTATTCCTGTCACTACTAGTACTAGAAGTTGTACTACTAGTAGTGGTATGGTCGTAGTAGTAGTAGTACTACTGGAATGTTTAGCTCAACTCTTGCCTATTTGGCAGCACAACAAGCTGAAATGCTTTGTATCAGTGATTTAAAGCTTTGATTTGGAACGCTGCTGGCATTAAACTCCATCAACTACTAGTACTATCTACTAGTAGGCTGCTGCAACAATGATGCAGCATTGCTGTTTTGTTTGTTGATTTTGCTGTACTTGTGCTGGTTCTGTTCTTGTTGCTTGGTGATTGATGATGGGAATTCCCATAGMAAATCAAAAACCGATGACGTACGGACGATCCTCGACAGCCCTAGAACTCGTGGTATTTTCCTGCGTAGACACCTATGCGWCCGGCAAATTGATCACGATTTTGTCCCCCCCATCGTACGGTACCAAGCAATACCAGCAAGAGTATCGTACCGTACGGTACGTACCGGTACTGTGTGTAACTAACGAGAACGAAAAAYAAGCAACACACGAGGCAGGTCGGAACGCAATGGCCAACGACGTCCTCAACRCCTCCTTGTTCCTGTTCAATAGTAACTCTAGAATACAACCTTCCGTCGAAAAGAATAACCATGGCGACCGATGCAGACATTGTCCCACAGGCCTTGACGGATTTCGTCTTTGACCTCTATGATTCCGTCACACTCTCGCAATTGACCGAGGAACAGAGCACACTATACGACGTCGTGTTTGCGGACTTGAGTCAAAAGGTGTGTTTTCATAAAGSTTTTCAATTCTGAACTCCGACGAGTGCATTGTCTTTGTGATATGCACCTACAAATAATCTATTTATGATTGTTTTCTCACTGGTATCGCTTTCCGTGCTCTCGGTCTTCGTTATTTTTGTCTCGTCAGTACTTTGCTTCCTCTCCATGGCCTTCTCCCGCCGCTATTGCAACCGAGTGCAACGGAGATCCTCTGTTTCTTGCGTTTTATCGTGAATTGACGCACCGCCACTGGCATGCCGTGAGTCGACCCTCSCTTCGCGAGCGAATGGAGGGATGGGACGTCTACCGAGAACTCTTTGACGAATTGCTCGAGGGTGCCGAGGAAGACTCGACTTCCAGCCAACCAAAGCTATTCATCTTGCCGGGATGGGCATTTGAAATTTTGCACGAGTTTGTTTACCAATTCCAGGGATTTTGCCAGTTCCGCACCACCCTGTTCGCATCCGCCAACAAGTACAAGCTTCTCCAATCGGCCGATTCGGATGGCGACGGTGCTCCCGCACCCAGCGGAAAACGTGGACCTCCGCATCACGTCGTAGAAAACTTGGCTTTGATGCAGGAAGACGCYGCGAAAGAATGCTGGAGTGTTGACACCGTCATGTATTACTTGCATCGATTCGTAGAAATTGGAACAAATCCCAAGTGCACCGTCCCAGCGTATCAATACTTTGGAATTTTCGCAAGYGTTGCCCTCAGCCGCCTCGAGTGTCTTTTGACGGACTACCCGGCATCTCTGGAAGCTCTTGCACCCATCTTGGAAAATTCAACCACCACGGTTGTCAAGCACGACCAGGAGACCAAGACCTTCACCCAAGTCATTCAGAGTGTTTTCCCGGCCCGGTTGAGTTTGACCTACCACGCAGGAATTTCATTTTTGATGCTCCGGCGCTACAAAGACGCTGCGACGACGGTGGGAGACCTCTGCACTTACATGCAACGTGGATTCAAGACGGGACAGCTTCGCTCCATGCCGAACGTTGATCAGCTCTATAAGAATTTCGATAGGATGATTGCTTTGTTAGCAATTTGCACTCATATCTGTCCCCAGACCAACTTGGTAGAGGAATCTATTGGCAGGACGATTCGCGAAAAACACGGAGCACAGATGTCGAAAGAAGCCTTCACCGAGCTCTTTGTTTTCTGTGCCCCCAAATTTATTTCTCCGGCTATTCCCGACTTCGTTACCTCGGGATCAGTCGACAATGCTTACAAGCAACAAATTTACCTTTTGGAACAGGAATTGAAGGACCAGGCTGCCTTCCAAACGCTGCGATCTTACCTGAAGTTGTATACATCCATTCCCACTTCCAAACTGGTCAACTTTGGTAATAAGGAAAATACCCTCGCTAGCTTGAAGCTSAAGATGCGTCAGTTGGAGCTTTCCAASTCCGAGATTCCCTCGCTGAAGGAAGCCACTTTGAAATCCGCTCTCGATATTCAGTACTACGCGGAAAAGGTAGAGGGCGCCAACGACGAGATTGTGCATGTAGACGAAGCAGAAAAGCAACGTCGATATGAAAATTACTTTTTCGGACAGGCCACACAGTCATACGATATTCGAAAAACTGCGAAGGTCATCGACACATCGTTGTAAAGGATGTGTTGACCCTCTTTGCAAGTCTCGTTGCATCTCTAAATTAATCAGTTACCAAATAGGATTTATATGYATCCAGGTTCGCGAATTTTCGACYCTCTACCTTGTCGAATCATTACGAGCACTTGTGTGCAACTACGAATACTAGTTGTACTGGTCCCTTCAGCAATTYACAACATACTGTAGTCTAGATAAGACCCTGACAAACCCAATAGACTGAAGTGAAATCAGGTCGTAGCTTGATAAAGTTAAAACTAGTATGTGTATCTGGGGKAAATCAGTCTACTTTCTGCACCATAGTTTTCAGGAGAAGTCCAGGTATCTTCTTGTTGGTGGTGTTGAATGGGGTTACTACGAGTAGTATGAACTGTTCTGGAGGAGGAGGGTCATAGTACTATGCTGCTGCATGAAATGAGTTCTGATCTCCTCAAATCTCATCTCTTCCCTTCTTATGTGATCTATCTAGTTCTGGTACTAGTAGTAAGGGGATAGCTACTAGTAGCTAGTAGTACTAGTATTACCAGCAGCTTAAATATGGTGAGACTTCAGTGTTCTTTTTATTGATTCTTCCKTACTACCACCCAGCAGGTAGGAATACACCCAACCCACCTTTTTTACTTCTTATCCATGATCACAAATAACAAGAACCCGAATTYGGATTTTGTTATCAGGCTGGGTTTGTTCTTGTCAAAAAAGAACCTTCTACTACTAGGGGTGTGATCCCCCCTGTCTTCAGAAGATGGTGGTACTGGTAAAGGGTCAGGATTAGAAGGTGCACCATGTTGTTGTTGAGAAGTTCCTCCCCCAACAAGTTGCAATCAATTGTTTGGCAACAAAAGGGGCCAAACAGAAAAACCTGAAAATCTAGATTCTCAGGACGAGGAAGGCTCATCATACTACTGGTGGGAGCTTTGGTTGAGGAGTATTAATGGTCAGACAGGCAGTATTTTTAGCAACACTGGATTGTTAGTTGGTTATTTTGAAAACAAAGTTTGGAAAAGCTTCTGATCCACCCAGGAAAGGTTGGTAGTAATACTGGGAGCAATCATCAGCATTGTCACTCCTGCTCATGTGACAAGAAAGAAGAAGATGTCTTTGAGAGATAACTTTACCATCTTCTTCCTTCTTGTTCTGGAATGCAGAGTGTGGTGTTCACCACTCCTAGTAGTAGGAGTACCAAATTGGGGATAATCCAATTACTACTACTACTTGTTGAAAGGAACTAGTAGATGGTGGTGTTAGTAGTAGTGTTCAGGATACAAGTGAACCTGTTGTTGCTGTAGGGGGTCAAGGATATGCAGTGATTGGTCTACCACTGGTAAAAAATATTGTGTAGTAGCAGTACTCCTATGGCTGGTGTACTACTACTAGTAAGAAGTGAGTGGAATAGTGATGAATGGAAGAACCAAAGAAGCAGAGTTGTCAATGCCATGTTCTTTTTCATGTGTTCAAGGGCCAATACAGCAACATGCATGCAGTGCTGGGATTAGAGTGAGGGGATTGAATTTGTTGTTATCTATGAAGATGGTGGACCACCACTGCCACAACTAAACTTCTTATTCTTGTTGTTGACATGCGTCACACAAACAGCATCCATGGTATTGCGCTTTTTGCAAGGTTGATACCTGCACAAGATATCGTGTATTTTAAAGTGTGTAAGAATGATATTATGTTATGATTCTATATTTAAAGTGTCACCATGTTATTACATGTTAACAGGTGTGAGCTCTTGAATTCCAATTAGGTTCCTTTGTAGATCGTGGTACTGGATCTACTACATGGGGTTATTATTATTCTTGACTCACGACATAATTGTTCTTTTTGGGTCCAATGTTCTTTGGATCCACGACGTCACTCAATCCTTGTATCTTAGACCTCTCAGATTCCTCGGCATGATGGATTGTATGATACATAGATAGGAATGGTACTCTATGATACTTAGGTACAAATGGTACCTTCACTCGTATCCGTACTTCCGCATCTGTATGTTTGTGCAGTTTGTTATATATGTATGTTCCTATACATACTATGTGTATGTATCTGTTGCAATACCATGGAAGTTTCAACATCCACCCTTACTAGCTTTTCCTGTTTGAATGAAAATCTGGAAAAATTGTTCACAACTCTGTTTTGCCACAACATGTCTCTGGAATGAGCATACATTTACTCCAAAGAAGTATCATAGCTCCATGCATGATGCTGAAAGCACAAAAACAAGTCACTGCCAATTCTGTCATGTACCCCCCCCCAAGCTAAAGGCATTCTGCTGTCAAAACTGTCATGGCTTGTCAAGATATCAGAAAAACCAGTGTCCTGTATTTTACAGCAGTGCCAAACACAACAAAAAACCAGGCTTCACCACATCAACAAAACTACTTTCACATCTTAGCTTCAGTAAAGATTGCTTCCAATATTATATCATCATGTAGGCAACAGGACCCACAACTTTAGTTCTTCCTTGTACAAAGCTTCAAGGGACAAGGTTGACGTTAGCCAGTGGTTTGCATTTACTACTGGTAATACCTAAGACAGCCCTTCAGTGGCATGCTGCAGAATCTTGATGACCAAGTGATGTATAATCCTAATGAAGATTATGAGTGAGAGACCACAACATACCATTAGTTGCAGAAAGGAAGCTATCCCAATGGGCTATCAAAATTTCTGGTTTCACCTGGAGTACTGGGAGCAGTCTGATCAAAACTTGCCAATCTGTTCTAGACAAATGCTACAAAAGAGCCCCTGGACTACAAGGGGATGATTTTGAAACTAAAGACAACAATGACAAATCTGACAAGACACTGAATGGTAGTACCACAGAAGGCTCATGGAGCAAGAAGAGGCGTGTAACATGGTGCACTGACAGCAACTTGCCCCATTAGTACTTTCCTCTCAGGTTATCGCATCATTTTGATTTCACCAAGTCCACTGTCCCCTTCGGGGCTTCTCTAGAACAGCATTGTTGTAACAACTCACATCACCTAATTATTGGAGGCAATTTGTTCCACGACCTCAATTTTGGTGTGAACAGTCATGGCATCCACCCTGCCTCCCCAGGGGAAATGCCGTACATGCATTAACTTGGATGTGCAAAGCAGGCAGCAGAAACATTCTGCCATGTCTTCCTATCTAATTCAAAGAAGCTCCTTGACTGTATGGATTCGATAGCTGGTTATCATGGTGCTTCTCTCCAGAGGCAGTCTGACCACGGTTTTCCCCAAACCAACTTTTTGAGTCCATACACACTGCAAAAAGGGAGGGTACTCACTTTAGTGGTATGCTTCTGTTACAGATCCTCTCTGTATTGTCAAAGGATGGCCGCCTTATCACAATCTAGAAGAGATTGATGGTCAGATTTATGCTTTGGAACTAATTATATATCCATCAGAGCAAGAATACCAGAACTCAAGATGGTTAATCAGACAAACAACATAGATGGGCATCAAGAAGATGCAGTGATTGGGAAAAATCCAAAAATGTAAAAATCAGCACAAGAGGTTCATGAAAAATAAACTGGTGCTGTATGTTAAGCAGAGATTTTTCAAGTACACAAAGTTTACCATTCCTCAAGATGATGTTGTACAGGCCATCATTGTAGTAACCCTTGAAACTACATTTGGTACAGACCGAGTTCCATAGAGCTTGGTGGTCACTGTAGCAAGGTTGGGAGGGACTATCAATGGTGCGATCACTACTTGCAGACACAACGCACAAACATTAGTGCGGAAAAATTAGAAGGGTAAGTAAAACCAAAGAAAGCATATGCATGCACTATGTCTGATGTGAGTGAGTGAGTTTGTGTCTCGCGACCATCAATCTCTGCTTGTTATGTACACGTCACAAAAAGTGATTGCACCCTCTTGCATGCTCTCACGACGTTTTTTTCTCAAGAATACTCACCCCCTTTTTGAAAAATCACTTGTCAAACCCTTTCTATTTTTGTTGTGATGGCCGCGTTTGCTCCAATATCAAACCCGATGGGTTGTGTCTGGTCATAATGCAAGTGAGATTGGTTGCGGATGGTCATGATTGCTTTTGGATACATTGATTTGTAGATCACTCCCAGTTTTTCCAATGTCCGTCTTTAACGGCCGGCCACCCGTTTTAAATATCAGTTTCTTCCGTTCCTTCCCATCTGTCAAACACATGTTGTTGTTGCCCCTACCATTCCCAGCTAGATGTTACAGTGGTAAACCAGTCCTGTAAAAAATTCCAAGCAAGACGTTACAGTAGTAAACCAGTCCTGTCAAAAATTTGTTTCATCGAAAACCATTAGCTTGGTCCTGGTTGTCCTAGTTTTTACAGAAACCTTGTTTTATCGCACTATCACTTTAATCAGTTGCTTGTGGGTCGTGGCTGGAGACAGTGCATCTCACACCACCACCACCGTGGAGGTCTCCAGTCCTTTTTCCTTGTGCAAGCAGCCCATGTTACTCAGTTTGTGTCCAATTGACAAAAGAGTTGCTGTTTTTTTAATAATTTGATTCAGCCACAATTTATAATCAACAAATGTCGAACCCATACAAGACCCCCACCCGCTCTGCTATGACGAGTCCCAACCAACTATGTTGTTCCAGTATCACCAGGGACACAATGAAACCCCTGTGGAATGAAGCCTTCTTATCTGATTCCCTTCTCCTTAGCTGGGCATGTCTTGGGCTTGCTGAAAACSTGAAGGTTTTTGAACATCTCTGTTCCAAAGGTGAGCAGCTTTGTAAGGACACATCAGAAAGCATGTTGACCATTACGTCTTTGATCACAAAATATTTGRATGACAATTCCATAGAGTCTGGTTCAGTCAGTGACAGGTCTGGTTCAGTTGTGGTTGTTCATGATAGCAACAAAGATGACAAATATGGCGACAACAAGAGCAACGGAAAAAGGCCAGAAGAATTGTCAAACAATTGTCACCTCTTTGTTCACTAGGAAAGAAAATCTTTACATTTTTTCAGGAACAATACAAATCATTGGCATATGATGCTACAAACATGATCAAATCTATGGATAAGAACAATCATGGTRCCACCCAGGCCCAGAYRGAAAYRATCAATTTCAAGAATGGATGAGAGAAGATGAATTTGCTCCTCGTTGTGCAAGATTTGTGTGCACTTTGTGACAAAGAGTCTAGTCCCATCCACAAGTTATGGGCCAAGGTAACACCTAATCTGGGTGGAATCAAGTCTCAATTTTGTCGGGACATGAGACAATATAGGGAGAATCTAGATGCAATCAGAATAAAAAATGCAATGTTGATGGTGTTTAATCTGATCTTGATTCCGTGTAAAATCAAACATCAGAATTTTGGTGAGGAAATAGAATCAGATTCCAATTCAACCCCAATCAACTTCAAACTCACAAWATAAAAATTTGAATGGAACCTGGATTGAACAGGAATCATGATTCACTAGTGATAAATTTTGACCAGATAATTTTTCTTCCCCTGTGCCTGGAACCATAGTACCACCTTTGTACAAACCAAACAAAACATGAGGGACAACCCACAGAAGTAAGGGTCAAAAATATGGCGCGGCAAGGCTGGCTTGCGGGGTGACACCAAATGGAGAGTATGGTAGACAGGATGGGCCGCAAAATGCTGGTGTTAGAACCACCAACAATTTAATTTCCAGAAAACCACACAAAATACTACTATGCACCATTCAGCTACTCGCTTCCATTAAACACAATGGCACCAAGACAAGCAACACACCCAACCGCAGGAAAACAAAAAAGGTCAACGAGACTGAAAGAAACTGGGTTTGATAAAGATGCAACAAAGGTAAATAACAAAAAACTGAAAAAAATGCATAATGATGATAACAAAAACACCAATACAATTGCAACACTCATGAGACAAAACAAAGAACTAAAAAGGCAGTTGAAGGAAAAGGAGAACAACAAGATCACATGTGTATTGAAGAAGGTAAAAACTGCTCATGGTGCAGTAGGAGGTTTGATTATTGTAGCGGTGGTTCTGGGGGAAAAGGTATTGACATTGAACAAGAAGCTACTCGCAAGGAATTTTCAAGGGTATATTTGAATCAAATGTTTTCAAAGACATGGCATTCGTGATAAGTGATAAGATCAACAAACATGTTTGTCAACAGGCCATTGCAGATGGTGGTGTTAGCATGTGTGGAGAATTTAGTGGGGAGGACGAATTTTGTCTATACTTGCAGAACACCCTGTTGCCACAGGTGCTGAACAAAATATGACACAACACTCAGAGTTATGCACGAAGAAAATGGCTAGGTATGTATCATTGACCAGTGACGAATATGCTTCCCTGATAACAGTCTAACCATTGACATGTGAAAATTCCTTCCTTGCTCCATAACAGATGACAGTGAAAATGGAAACGTGCCAGATGGATTTCCAGGAACACTGGGAATTTACGATTGGGACATGAGGCATGCAAAGGAGAAGGTTATACATCCACAGTACAGGGCATATGGTGATGCCAACAATTTGGAGTTTTATTACTTTGTTACAAGAATATTGGCATCCGTCAATGCTAGGAACAATGATTTCAACGGGAATAAGAAAGGGACTGAGAAAATTTGCTGAGTGAAATTTTCAGTGTTAAGGATGAAGCCTTTGCTCTCCTGATGCTTTACAATGAACTTCATGTATGGGAGTCCGCCCTTAAGAAAAAGAAAGATGGATTGGTTAAGATGGAGCAAAAAAGATTCTGCGATGCAAAAAGTGGAAGAAGGATTGGGTGGGCTCTGGAGGGAAAGGTACTATTTTACAAGTTGTGCACTGAGATTTAGGAACTCGGAAGAAACCCTCAAACAGGAGAGCTTTTCGAAAAACAGATGAGAGAACGGTTCATGGAGGAATACAGAAGGAAGAACGGTAGAGTTGTACTACCAACAAACTCGGAACCAAGGGTTGACGTTACAATGATGGAAAACATTTATGTTTCCGAAAGGTTCAGAAACCTTACCAACAACCCCATAAAGAAGTGTGCCGGGAACAATTTAATCCTAGGAATGGTAGGGGATGTCGTGGAAGATGTTTAGTATTCCAAGAAAACACTTTTAGAATTCATTCATCATACATAATTATAACATGGTTAGTCATGATATTTCTGATCTATGGGGTAGTTATGAAGCCCGACTTTTATGTACATTCGATAGCATATCATGGTAGCAGAATCATTGTTCCAAGACATTGATTGCGCCAAGGTTATTTGAGAGTAATACTATTTGTGTGTGTAAATCTTGAGATTAAATTCCAAAATTTGTTGTCAAAGGGTAGTACAGACATTGTAAATGTTGAGGTTGTGTATCACGACCCCCAACATAATATTTAGCAGTCGTGCAAAAGGGATTGTGGGTACAAAAACCAGCAGAATAAATTTGTGCGGATAGTGAAACGAAATGTGTCACAAAAATAATCAAAAAACGGGGGTCATCACCAATATTGATAATCATAAATTACCCATGTTAAGTGGTCGCACAAAAACTACACACACAGGGGTGCAACCAAACCCAGCGATCACTTTTTGTGACGCAGACAACAACAAAGAAAGAAACAAAGTAGTACCAGAATTGTTCAGCTGCAATTGCTTCATAGCAGAAGGAGATGGAGGAGAGACATAGTACATGCTGAGAAATAGCTACAGGCAAGACAATAGACTGGAATTCAAGTACTTTGTAACAAGGATTTTAGGGGCAGTGTCCTCTAAACAAACAGAATTCAACACAAGGCAACACAAAGATCAAGAACTGAGCACCATCTTCACCACAACAGATGAAGTTTTTGTGCTAGTACTGTTTTTGTACCAAATTGTGGAATAATTTTGTGAGTGGAAAGAAAACCAGAAATGATCCACTAATAGCAGGATTGATAACAAAGAGGGTTGGAGCTAAGAGGGATGCATGCTGTTTGGGAAATTGGTCAGAGCAGAAGATACTTTGGCAGAGATAGAACGAGCACAAGTAAGGGCGGCACAGCACAGAAGACAAAATGGAGAGGACAAGGAGGATAGAATTAATAGAAAAAGAACATTGCGCAAAATGGAAGATAAAATTGATCAGAAAAATTTTGGGAGGACAATGAGATCTTAAATGAGCTGAGGTCAAAGATGTTCTACTACTACTACTACTACTCCTCATCGGATGAGTACTAGTACTAGAATAGTACTAGTAGTACTTGTGGGTCATTGTTTAGTGTGCATCCTTGGTTCTCCTCTCACCTCAATGACTCCTATGATKTTGTGGGTTACTTTGTGGTTTTGCTTTGGGTCGTCTCCTGTTTTTGATGACTTCAATTGGTAGGGAATTTCGCACATGTGCATGTTTGGGTTGTTCCGGAGGGCACTGAACATCTGTTTCAATATTGCACTGCAGAATTCATTTCTGCGAAAAGATGGCTTTTCCAGGCCAGGATATTTTGTCGTCCTCCCCGCTTCATCTCGGAAGGAGAAGGACATACAAAAATTGACTCATTGGAGTGCAAAAAATTCTGTTGAATCGCGACTGTACGTACAGCACTGTACCCTAACGTACGAAGTACGGTACAGCACTACGTCGGAAGGATAATATAGATCGAATAGGTCAAGAAGAAGTTGAACCAATCTTGAAAAAGGATTGGTGCACAGACAGATGAACGTAATTCCGATTTTTGTAAGAAGAACGGCAATGTGTCAGTAGAGAGAACATGTGGAAAAAAGGATACCTTTTCACTGCATTTCAGTGTGAACTCCGTTCGAGATCATAAAATTCTTTCTTCTTGTAACATACAAGTACTTCCTTTTGACATAGAACTAACGAAATCCACAATGAAAGTCATCGCTACCCTTTTCGCTTTCTTRGCTGTTGCCAACGCTTTCGCCCCAGCATCGACTGGAAGAGCCAATACTCAGCTGTCGGAATCTCTTTTTGACAAGGTGAGTATGAGTTCTAGGGAGTGGATCACAGTGGACGACGGTTTGCGCYGGAACCCTCAGTAAYTTGAGCTTCATTTTCTTATCTTCTCCTTTCTTGCAATATGTTCCTTTCAGGTTYTTGGCATGGATCTTTTTGCTCCTGTTGCGAATCAAAACGAGTACGGCCAATACAAGAAAAAGGRTGTGAGTCATTGTTCGTTGACGCAATAGCTGTATCCGAAATGTTTTTAGACTGCGGCGTTATCATCGCAAAACTATTCCCTGATCTGTTACCTTTTTTGACTTGACAACTATTGATGTTTTTTCTTGACACCACAGATCTCGGTTGGAGAACTCGGTGCGAAGTCGTACGTCCCCGACGGCCTTACTAAGAAACAATACGCAAAACTTCGTGCTGACGAACAAAAGAAGAAGGAAAAGAACTACGAACGAAATGCCAAGAAAGCCGGTGTGTTCGAGGACTACACTGAATTCTACACCAAACGTGGAACCGACACCAAGCAGGCCTGGAAAAAAGACCCCACCCTTGGACACCGAATGGCCAAGACTAAGTACAGCTTCGATACCAACAAGGACGGAAAGASTTACGATGGTGGCAAGTAAGCAATCGAGATGATTCGTTCKATCAAAATCAAGTTAGAGGAAACTATGGAACCAGATACTACTACCTGTTTGACACTAGTTATTGTCGTAATGTAATACTGTAGAAGCCTAGTTTTGCTTGCATATTTCTTTTCTACTTCGCATTGCATTTCATAGTGTGTACATTGSGTATTGCTTCCGACGAGTTGAAAAAATGCACTATTCTTTTTCGACTCCCAACAGAACTGCTCGATCAATACGAAAAGCAATTCAGTACTCATAATAAAATTTGAATTCAACCCAGTTAACAGTCTCAGTACTCGTATGTAAAAATGTATTTATAACGTCAAATCTAGTTTTTYGCCAACTCACTCAAACGAATTTAAACRAAGTATTCACCGTCAAGGTTCTTAGCGTATCCCACTCCAGCTTGGCCATAGATGATTCGTGTACTAATGACTCCCTCCACCATCGTAATCTGTTCTTGAACATTCTTGAAACTGACAACATCATTTCCACTTGTGGAAATATCACAAACGTTGTATGCGATATCACCCCGGGAGTGATTGATTTGCTGCACAATATTGAGCCCCTCGTTGGAAATTGCCTCAGTAATGGCGGCCAAAGCTCCAGGAACGTTTTTGTTAACAACAGTGAAACGMACTGTGTCTTCTGGTCTCGCATCGAGGTGTGTATCGGGGAAGTTTACACTGTTGACAATGGTTCCGTTCTCCAGGTATTCTCGGATAGTGTCGGCGGCCATGGAAGCAGCGGCATCTTCSGCCTCTTCGGTCGAGGCACCCAAATGAGGTAAGACAATGCAGTTCTTGTGATCCCAAAGCAAGTCCTCAGGGAAATCTGTAACGTATTTTCCATCACCGCTGTCCAAAAATTCTTTCATGGCGTCCGARTCCACGAGTTCTCCGCGAGCAAAGTTCATTAGGACGGCGTTGGGGCTGAAATGTTCGACGACATCCTTACCAATAATTCCGTGGGTTCCACCTTGTCCCTTCACGTAAGGAATGTTGATAGAGATGTAATCGGCACCCGAAACTGCTGCCGTGATGGAATCGACAAGATTCATGTCACGAGGCAACTTCATAGCAGATTGAACACTGAGACCCGGATCATAACCCTTGACCTTCATTCCCAGCTGCTCAGCATCACGAGCAGTCATGGCTCCGATGTGTCCGAGTCCAATTACTGCGAGTGTTTTGCCTTTGATTTCTTGTCCACCAAACATGGCCTTGTCCTTTTCGACACGTTCTCGGGCCAATCCCTGCGCTCCAAGGTCCTTCATGTGGTTGATTCCGTCAACAATTCTTCGGGATCCCAACAACATACCGCACAAAACCAATTCCTTGACGGCGTTTGCGTTTGCTCCGGGTGTGTTGAAGACAGGAATACCCAATTCTGTCATGCGAGGGACAGGGATATTGTTGGTACCAGCACCGCATCTATTTTGACGACAACAACGGTTTTAAATGAGACGCCATAGTTCCATCGCAAGTATTGGCCATGGCTGATTCGGTGACAGAAAGGATATTTCTGGTGAGAAACCTGTGACTTACCTTGCAATGGCTCTCACGGTTTTAGGGACATCCTCCTCTTGAAGCTTGTGGGATCGYAACAAAATAGCATGAGCGTTGGCAGCGTCACCGGATCGGACATCGTATTGATCCTGGTGGAAGCGCGACARACCAACGGGGGAGATTTTGTTGAATGTTTTGATCTGGTATTTTCCCTGCTCGTAGTTGTCGATATCTCCGTATGTCTKCCAAGCTCCTCTGCCGTGCTCGAATTCCACGACGGTGGACATGCTTCGGGCAGCTCCACGGCCGAGGATGAGTTTGTTAGCGACGTTAGCGCTGTTTCGGACAAGCTTGTCCATGGCAAATCGGGACGCAATCATTGTGYTGTGTGTGATGTTTCTCCTTTCTTCTGGGTGTGACCGTTGACCGAACAGATATTTCTATTCAAACCACTTTTTTTGGATATGTCGTCGAATTTGTGACTGGTGCGCTTCGTACCGTACGTCGTTCACAATGATCGGTGACGAGGTGTGAATGGGTCGAATTGTTTTTGCTGCAATTTCGACCGCGCATGGCTCAAACGTGCGAAACTTAGAATGAATAGGAACCACAGATTTTGTCTCAAGTTTCCAAGAACAGGGAAATGGCGGGCTTCCGGCACGTACAAAAAAATCCGGCACTCTGTRTGCTGTTCGAGCACTATGGTACACGATTGACTTTCGTTCCCGATATTCGACCTCGCAGATACGTAGAAATCGCACGTTCCGCACGTTCATCGAAAAAAATAACCATAATCCTCAAATGCAATGGTAGGGGGCCTTAGGGCAGTCATTTCTCCCTGTATAGTTCACGAAGAACTCAGTACTCAAGGTCTTCCTATGCATGATTCTTGTTAAAAATCGACCCCAAATACGTGGTGATTTCCGTACGGTTGTAAGGGCAATTTRACTTGTATGTCTGAATTATGATGTATTTAACATGAATCTGGGCATTGGGGTACTGACTCACAACATTAGAGGTCAAGAATTATTTTCGGGCATCCATACGAGCAACAGACACATGTCGTGGATTCTTCTCCGATTGATGATGGATTTCTCGAAATTCGACATCCTCAATTGTGCGGTATTGGTTTTTGAGGTCAAGATTGAATGCAATTTTTTTGTTCTGCGCTCCCGTTAGTTACATTTGAGTTATATTCTTGAAAACTACAGATACACCAAGAATTATATGACACCAACTCCACCATGACTTTGCTTTCAATTGCTTCGCGTACCTACTCTCGACGAGCCCTAACATCGGTTGCCRCCGCCTCGTCCTCGCCGTCGTTTGGTTCTAGATTTTATTCCGGATCGTCGGACCAGGTCGATCACTTTGTTTCCGGCTGGGACACYGACGAAGTGGATAAATACAAAGACACAAAGAAGTACTGCACGCAAACCTTCAATAAGATTTCGGAAGTTGGTCTTTCGGTGTTTTCGAAGGATTTGTACGATGTCCTTCCTAACGAGWGTGCCGATGGTCGTCCGGCACATGCGCTGATGTTAAGGTCGCATAAATTGAAGGAGGAAGAAGTTACGGCATCTGTGAGAGCAATTGCCCGGTGAGTAAGGAACCTCCGAGTGCAGAAACACTGCACAAAAAAATGTTATGGTTGATTAAGACTCATGCTTTGTTTTCTTCTCTTGTCGTCTTCCAAAACGATACGGAATTTTCTGGGTATGACGTACTCTGCCGGTTAATTTCGAATAAACTCGGTTGATTCACTTCCATTTCGTTGTCGTAGATGCGGTGCTGGCACTAACAATATCCCTGTTCCTCGSATGACCGAACTGGGAATTCCTGTTTTCAACACACCTGGAGCTAATGCCAATGCTGTAAAGGAACTTGTCCTTTGTGGACTGCTGATGGGAAGCAGACGTGTCATTGATGGAATCAACCATATGAAGGATCTTGGAACACAGGGACTGCAAAGAGAGCGTGTGGAAAAAGATAAAGCAATGTTTGGTGGAMGAGAAATCAAAGGGAAGACTTTGGCTGTCATCGGACTGGGACAYATTGGAGCATCTACCGCGGCAGATGCTCATGCCCTGGGAATGAATTTGGTTGGATACGATCCTGGTTTGTCGGTTGAATCGGCAATGAAACTTCCAGGAAATTTGAAGTTGGCRGATAGCATTACATCGGCAGTCGCTAACGCTGACTACATCAGGTAAGGAATGAGTGCCAATTGGGTGGGCTCGCGGTCTGGATTTATCGCTGGAGAAATGGAGCGAGATATSGATCGTACATCTTTTTCCGAATTTTGCTCATCGTCCGCATTGCCTTTAGCTTGAACATTCCGTACACAAAAGGAACACATGGTATTATTGGGCAAACCATTCTTCGCCATTGCAAGCCAGATGCTGTCATTCTCAATTTTGCTCGTGGTGAATTAGTTGATTCAGAGGCCATGAAGGAATTCCTGGACCAAAGTGAGGGAGCGAAATACATTTCTGACTTCCCTGACGACCTTTTGTGGGATCACTCCAACGCAATTGTAATCCCCCATTTAGGAGCATCAACTGGAGAGGCCGAAGATAGTGCCGCTGCTATGGCTGCAGAGACTCTCCGATTGTACCTTGAAGATGGTACCGTTCGTCATTCTGTCAACTTCCCCGATGCCTCACTCCCAGCGAGAAGCCCCRATCATATTCGAATGACTGTTGTWAATCAAAACCAACCCGGTGTGCTGAGCTCGATTACTGAAGTATTTGCCAAACACAATCTCAATATTGTGCAACAGATCAATCATTCGAGGGACGACATTGCCTACACCGTCATCGACATTGAAGCCGATGAGAACGCCGATTTCAAGGSAATGCAACAGGAACTGACGATGAGCGATGGTGTATTAAGTAGCCGCGTTTTGTTTGGATTGCCTGGAGCAGGATATTCTAGAAATATCGATGGAGAATATCACGCATAAGATTTTGATGACAGCAATTAAATAAAGAAGGATTAGAGAATCGTCTATATCCAATTGAATGTCATGAGTAGCTAGAAATTAGTTCTTTATAGCGATGGTGTATTTAGTACCCGCGTTTTGTTTGGATTGCCTGGAGCAGGATATTCTAGAATCGATGGAGAATACCACGCATAAGATTTGATCACAACAACTAAATGAAGAAGGATTACAGAATCGTAACTACATCCGATTTAATATCATGAGTAGCTAGAAATTCTTTCATTATGATTTTTTAAGATGATCTTCGAAAATTGAGATCCTTCACACTCCTTCGATTTCGTCGGGATCGCCCATTTCCTTCCRATCCATTGTCTTCGTTGCTTCTTTTCTTCTTTCTTGAGTCCTTAGGAATGTAAGTAATTTCTTTCGAGCCACCTTTATTTGTAATCTYAACAACAGGTTCTTCCGCTTCTTTCATTCGGATCCGCTTTGACAGGGGAATATTCATTCGCCGGGCCTTTTCTTTCATTTCGATCTGAACTCTACTTTCGGCCAAGCCAGCATGAAGAGCGGCCTTACCAGAATCTCCCAGATCATTCGCCTCGTACATGACCGGCTTCTTCGATTTTTTCGAGCGATYTTTCGACTTCGATTCTTTTGCTCTRCGTTGCATTTGCTTGACTTCGTCGTAATTTTCTCCTCGTACTTTTCCACCTCGGAAACCGTCGTCGTCACTATCGCTATCATCATCAAAGTCATCACCTTCCATCTCGTCCTCGCCCGAATCATTTTCACCTTCATTCAAATCGTCAATCTCATTGTCGTCGTCGCTATCCATGTCATCATTTTTCTTGCGAGCGATAGCATTTGCAGCCACACCACTTGGGTTTCGCATCTTAAAGTTTTCGTCTTCTTCATCAATTTCAAAGTCTTTGTTGGAAAATAGATTCCCRAAGCGATCGTCAGCCAATACACCTTGTGCGGCTTTGCCTGCCTTTGTGTTGGATTGGGCTTTGTTTTGTAGACGAGCAGCAAGATCTGGATTGACCGAAGTTTGTTTGGTTTTGTTTGATACCTTCGGAGCAATTCTACTCGCCCGCTTAGCTTCCAAACGTTCCTTGACCTTCTTCTTTCGGTACTCTTCGTATTCAAAGGGGTTCGCCACAGCACGAACCTTGTTGTATAAGTTGATGTCCATGAARAAACCATGCATGTATGCTTTTAACAAAGGCGAACCAATCAAGTCCGAAACTCCTAGTTTTTCTAAATCCTCGTGACTGACGAACTTGTAGTTCTCGAAMACAGTTTCTTGGCCATCTCGAACCAAAACATCTCCAGAAGATCCAGAGTCTCGTTTCAGATCTCTTTCTTCGAGCTCTTCGGTGATATTCTCTAAGAAAGAACACCAGGAAGGCGCCAAACCTACCTTGGGTGCGTAATACGCCTCCAATTTTGGTTGATCGGTGGTACATAACAATAGTCCGCTCCTGTTTCCTGTTGGGTCCTTCTCGTCACCTCCCATGATGAAGTTCGAAAACTTTCCACCGCTTTCGACATTTGCAACAACTGCACCYAGACCATCGTCGCTGTTGCCACCAAATCTATCCGATGCATTTCCAACAGCACTGTTGTCAACCAARTCTCCGGTCGATTTGTATTTCCAGATTTTGATCAATTTCTCGTCGGAGCTGAGGACACATCCACTTCCAGGGTGAAACTTGATGGTATGAATGGGCAATCCGTGCTTGTGCTCTTTGACATAAAGTGGYTTACTYGACCGGACATCGTAGAGTGCAACCAACCCACCAGCAGTTCCCGCAGCCATGTACAAACCCGTTGTATCGAAGGCGACGGAAGTGATATTGAATGGATTTTGACAGTAGGGCGCGCCTGAGTTGCTGTCGTTGTCGTCAAAGAACCCCATTCCTTTGGTAGCGGCCTTGACATCTAGCTTCAAAAAGGGGGTCAGTGTATCCGGCGAACGATTGTCAAAGAACCGAACGATGCCGTCATCGCATCCAATGGCAACCAATGGTTGCGCCGGAGAAACGGAAATGCACGAGCATGTTGGCTGCGTCGAATCTTCGATCGACCAGGGTTCGCTGAAACGCCCCTCTTCCAAATTAAGCCGGTAGATTTCGGAACCACTCCCGACAATCAAGAGCTCACAAGTTGTCGATTCGTAGGCCATCCCCCTCCCAAACTTTGGAATCCTAACCTTTTCGTGTTTTCCGTAGTGTGCATGGAAATTGATGGTGCGATCGTCCGTCAGAATAGCAATTTTTCCGTAATCTTCTCCGAGCATCACGATGTCGACTATGTGTGAATCCATGTATCTTTCAAACTTCATCGTTAAATCGTGAATGTCGTAGCATCGAATCCGAGGTGGATAGGTTCCCCCCACAACGATATAACGGCCATCACCATTTGATTGAACAACCTTCGAAGAACTCGCGGGCATCTGAAAGTCTTGAATTAGTTCGATCCTCCGCCGGATTTGCTCATCTCGTTTGGAAAGATTGCGCCTAGCCCGATCACCCAGCCATTCCGGGAGCATCGGCCCAGAAGACAGATTGTAGATGGTCACGTCATTGCGTTTTTGAATATTCATGTTCTAAATTTGTTCCGTCGTTTTTGCTTTGTCTGGGTCCTTACTGTCTCTTTTTTCCTTTCACCTTGGTGCTAAACGGCTGTTGGTTCGACGAAGACAGTGTCTAGRACGTAGAGCTCTATTTTGTATTATGTATGCTGTATGATTTACGAAATTCCCACGGCGGGGTGAAAGGCCAAACGATGATGATTCCCGAGTGAATAGTTTTCGATTTTCGACATCCAGTTCCGATCGAGCCCGAAATAAATGGCCGTGGCTAGGATTACGAAAAACTGAAATATCCACGTCTGAACACTTTGTTCTTGTTTYAAATCAAAAACTATGTTAKTCGATTAGTCGTAATGTTCGTAATGTGACCGTACGTCGTACGTTCCATCCGTGTGAGCTCTGAATCTTGACCAATGAATGGGCTACCGGAATCGACCAATCAAATTGACCAATCAATTTCATCGGATCTTTTTTGAAAACATTGTTGGCATTCYAATTTTTAGTCTAAYTAGTCCAAAGATACCAAATGTCAAAAAAAACGGATAACCTCAACAAGAACGCAATTCGAAGTCACATTTTTGCTCCTCGCCGCCCGAATTCAGTCATATCGTTTTTTCGCAGATGGAGTTTTCGACTTTTTTGCCAGCCTCGRATTGTTGGAACACGATCTGTTCCCGTCGAGTTTTGTTGATATCACATGCCTTGAAGACACGAGATCTACTGAATCCTCAAATTTACTTTTGCCTATTGCTACAGTCCATTTGTTTCTATTCGAAAAGTAGTAGTGATAAAATCCTGTAATAATCAAGAGTTTCGWTTCGGGAGTAACAACAAATCTATTTTGCGCAGTACTATTTACAAGTCTAGTGTTTGCGTATCTCAACCGGTAGAATTCCATAGAAAATGTGACGCCACAMGCTAAGGGTCACATCAAATCATGGGCAGTCAGAATGGGAGACTGGCGTATTTAGAGTTCTCCAACGATTGGGACGGATCCTCCGAGTTGTTCGTGGACCATGAGTCCGAGAACTCCCATCATGGCAGCACGTCCRTTGTTGAGCTCGATGGCACGCTTGGAAAGCTGGGTCTCCTCGTCGAAGGTGTCCCATCCGAAGTCAAGGGATCCGTTACGGAAGTCACCAACGAACTCGTTTCCGGTTCCCTCGATGTCCTTCATGACACCAAGTTCAAGGGCGGCAACGAAGGCAACAATCTGGGCAAGTCCRGCCGAAGGGATGGCATCAGGTCCAGCAATAGCGGCCCATCCGTTGGGGAAGGAGTCGAAGGAGTCACCGGACATATCGATGTCTCCAGGAAGGTGGACTCCGTATCGGGTGGTGATCTGTCCAAGGAAGGCAAGCATACAAATACGTCCGTGCTTGATTTCAACGTATCGGAGACGGTCGAACTTTTCTTGGTCACCGTCTTCAACAAGTCCCAAAGGATCRAAGAATCCAAGAGGAGGCTGGGATCCAAGGGCATCTTCGAAGGCCTTAACGGCGGTGGAAGTGGCAGCCTTGTTGGCAGGGGCAAAGGCGGCGGCCGAAGCGATAAGGGAGGCAAAGATGGCGGACTTCATTGTAAATTAGTTGGAAAATTTGATTTGTGTGATTCTGCTTGAGAAATTATGAGAAAGCGGYGTTCGAGAGCCATGCACCGGTAGTCCGTGGTGCTATCGCAACATATCGTACGAGTATCGGTCGTACCGCCATTGTTGATACCTAGGAATGTAGTACGTACGGGGCGAGTAAAGTGCAGCGCCCTCAACGAGAAGAAAAGATTTCTTCAAGCCAGAGGAAAAGAAGAATAAACCGGTTGTTTCTCACTCGAACACCAGTGAAATTCACCGTACACTATAGTATCGACTGAACGGGCTTCAGACTCTTTGACGCCATATTCTTCTTTTCGTTCTGTATGGTGTTCCAATGACAGAGAACATRGTCGAAGGAAGCAACGAAGGAATAAACAGGAGGGAGGGAATCAAACAGCTTGTGACGAGCCAATTTTTCGATCAAGGTGAGCGAAAAACTTCAACTTCTGTATTGATCATACCGATAGGGTTAGAGATGATGATTTGTTAAGACTCATAATGAGCACTCGTGATTGATCCTCATACATACCCCATCATATGTTGTAAAAGTATCTCTAATATCATTAGCATGTACTATGACTATGATGYAATTGTATCGTGCGGTACTACGTATCTACGGTACCCCCTACTCGAACCCAAGGGAAAAAAAGGAAAAGCTGATGCAGTACGGTAGAATTTAGAATTTACAAGAAGACTACGGTAAATATGTGAAATACGTACGAGTTCAACTAGTACTAGTAGAACTAATTTGCTTACGGTACCTCTCGTCCGAATCCAGAAGGGAAACGAAATCGGTGTCAAAAGAAAACGGGAAAGGAATTGATGTACGGAATCGTACTGTATCACAGAGGAAGAAAACCCCGASAAACAAATCGGAAATAGTGTCCTCTCGAACCAATACGAATAACGAAGAGACGGACTCATATGAAAGTTCCTTCCGCGTAGTCATTGYCTCCAAAACACGCTGTACCCTTCCATACAGAATCATAATCATCATTGAGAGTCAAGGTTTGAAAGACACCTGAGAACATAGGAGGAAAACAGTTTCCAAAGCAACGTATTACGGAAGATAGCTATGTTTCCAGAATGGTTAGCCGCATGGAGAGACCAACTAAGCTGTTCGACATTATCTTCCTATTGTACAAGCAATGCGTGTTTGAAACTCAAAAGGGCAGTCTCTTTCTGGCTCCAAACGTTCGTCATCAAACGCAATTCATCCGATGATTGGGAATTTCGAACATTGTTTGTGGCAGAGATAAGCATCCTTCCTGTCATCTTTTTGTTTTTGGTTGTGTCTTGGTGGGCACTGAACCGCAACGTTCGAATGAAAAAGACGAGAGGATCTAGTATTCCCCACAGAGAAGCTCGTGCAAATCACGAATATTGGGAGGAAGATGAGGACAGCGATGACGACGATTCTGAATGCATTTCAAACATCATTGCAGACGAGCATTCAAACGCCAGCTCCGTTGAACGCAAAAGACGAAAGACTTCTAGGCTTTCAGCGAAGCGCCAAAAAATGCAAGCTTTATTGAAGGCATACAGAGTCGACATCGATGAGGACGAACGAGATGACGATACAATAATAACTGCAGAATCTCACATTGAAGAGTCAGATTACGAAGAGGACGATTTACCATTCTCTAAGAAAAGCCCAAAAACTAAAACCATTGATCATGATCCAATTACAAGGCAAATGTTTCTTTCGAAGGAAAAAAAGAACATATGGAAAGTCCTCCGGGAAATTTCCATTTTTTCCTTTCTCAACGAAGAAGCAATAGAGATGTGTCTAAACGATTTGGAGTATGTTGATTTGTCTCGTACCGGCGACTTTTTGTGGAAAGAAGGAGCCTTCGATGGAAGCTTGTACTACGTGGTAAAGGGACGAGTGCGTGTGAATTTTTTGGATTTCCAAGCATCCTTTGCCAATTCGCACGCTCGCGGCCCAACGAGCGAATCTTCGGCAAGCATCTTTCACGAAGAAGACACGGTCGTTACCTCTCAGCTGGCGTTGATGGAAGGAATGGTCCGGTGTCACCTGCAGGCAAACAACAACTCATTAGGCCGATTCGTAGGCCATGTATTCCAAMGAACCACTGCACAGGCAGTGACGGATTGCACTCGTTTGTTTCGGATCCCACCCTCGTGTTTCTCCAAGATCTTGGATCGCTACCCTGAAACCGTATTGAGAATATTGCAGACAACTCTAAACCGAACTCAGAGGGTTACCGTTCAGACCCTGGTCCG